GAAGCTGCTGCAGGGTCTGCCACGCTACGACTCTCGGTGAGCATGCATAGCATGCGGGATTCGGTCAGGCTTGCCAGTGCCTCAAACGTAGGGGTCTTGTTCTTTTCTGGTACGTGTGGGGGCCCATAGGCACATACAGGGTGAGGCTGTCTTTTTGTCAGGGTGTGCAGGAACTCTTGCGGATACAGAAGTTGGGTACAAGGGTGACCCTGTGCCCCCGCGTTGTGGTTATCTGATATCACATATGTCATTAGTATTTACAAAATACTATGTCAAGACATGTTCAGGAAGACAGAGCTCTGTTCTGGGTCTCCCAAGATGAAGTTTTCCAAGAGTTGTGCTTTAGTGTACTGGTTCCCGTGTGGGCTCAAGGAATTTGAGTATCAAAGCCGAGAGACCAAAAGCAAACAACAAACAAACAACAAAAACACAGAACTCAATACAACAAACTCCTTGACCACATTTCTTGGGAGTTTTCAGAGACTTGGTCCGGAGAACTTTTTTTGGGTGGTTTTGTACCCGAATTCCCTGGCCGTAGCCCAAATGGAAGCTAGCACACAAAAGCGCAATTCTTGGAAACTTTCTTTCTGGGAGACTACCGGTTCTTGAACAGAGCCTCCTGTTCTCGAACAGGTCTTGATTTCCAAGCCGAACAGAAGGTTTCTTCTTTCGCAGCGCATCCTGGTATCTAAATCGTAAATGGAGCCAGAACGACCTTGTTATGCATCGTTGCCCAAAATGAAAACAAGACATGCATAGGTAAATACTCCTCAGAAGGTCACCTAGCGATACCCAATTGTCACCTCCCCTTCGTCGTCAAACCAGCCCAACTGAATACTTGAAACATGCTTTGGACGAAGGAGTACGTATTTCCATCAGAGCCAATAACCCACCCTAAACATGAATTAGGTTGTATACTGAGTTCTCATACAACTTGGGGGTGTCTCAGAAACCGAAAGAAATTTGACTCAAATTAAGAATACCATGTATTGATTGGGTTTGTCTTGCCTTTTACGTGTTTTGTACACGCGCTTACATTCAGGAATCTACACGCAAGGACATATAATTCATTAACTCGTACTACTGCAACTCCTGAGTCCTATTTCTTGTTAAATATAAGTTGGGTTTCAGCAAGTCGAACTTGAAGATTACACGCATGATGCAACTGACGATTTCCTGTGTTTCTTCGAGCTTCGTGGTTTTACTAACACTGTTTGTACATAAAGAAACTACACAAACTAACTCAGTTAGATCAAACTTCCTAATCAAGTAGAATTCAACATTTAATGAAGATTCGTAAGCTAGCTAATGTTTTCGGAGGCATTACATGCCTGATCGAGAAGAAAACTCATTTCCTCAACATACCCGCAAATTCACTTGGGCCCGATCAAAGTTTTTCGAATTACATTTGTATATGTACATGTGCTAGGGGGAGAATGCGTTCCGTGAGTCGAGGCCGGCAGTTTAGGGTTTCTATTCCAGACAGTCTGTGAAGCGCAATCCGCATTGTGGTGAATGAGGCTCCCTAGGAATGCTTTCTTTTACAAAGAAGAAGCACAAACATCATATAGAGCCCAAAACGACTAACAACTCATTGATGAGGCCCTCCGACAACCAAAGCTCTGTTCCTAAGAGAGGAATGGAATTGTATGTTCCCCGCAATACAGATACAAGAAAGATACAATTAACTTGAGACAGGTGAAGGCTTCAGTTGCTTGCAGGTGCTTCTTTCAGTCCCACAGAAATTCAGCGCCAGCAACTGGAGCTTCAACTCTCTCCTCCTAGGCTTCGTGTATCCACTTTAGACACACGTTTTCCATTTCCATTTGAAGAAAGTCTTCTGCATGCTGCTGTAATCCATTGTGGGTACAGATGTTTCTTGTGCTATGCATAAAAGGCTGTGAACAACAACTCACTACTTATTCCTTTTGTGAACCAAACCTCCATTCTTCAGACTGAAATAACACACTTCTTGTCCGCAATGAAAATTCGAGAGAACCGAAGCTGATAGATAGACAGATAGAATCGTAGATAGACAGATATACATCTTCTGATCTCCATAGGAAATCACTAGAATGACATAATGGGGATGGACGGTGGAACACGAGCCAAAGACAAAACAACGACTCACCAGTTAGGCCTTTGTGCAACCAAGCCTACCTTCTAAAGAATGGAATAGACGGCTCTCTTTTCCGTATAAGAAAACATAAGAAATCTGGTTGACTTGAGGGAAGTGAGAGTTCCAGATTCCTCATCATGTGAGATCACGGTGCTTTGTAGCATGCCTCAGAAATGGGAGCACAGGGTCACAATCTCTGGGACAACAACAACGCAGGGGCACGCCTACCGATGAACGGATGTTGCTGTGTTCGGGCCGGTGGGAAACCCTCGCGTTTTGGTAACCTAAGAAGAACTGGTGCCAGTGACAGTAGAGCATTTGTCTTCTGGATTCTTCCAAACCCTGTTATACATTGCATGCCACATCCTATAAACTCTTGAGACTGTTGAGGAGAACAGGAGCGAAGCATTGCCATGGGAGTAGGTATGCATCTACGTGACATGCAGCTTAGACATGCAAAGGGACAAGGAAATACAGCAGGCTTTCCATCAGTGATTGGCCCCTTGGCTCTGGTATTAGCACTTGTCATTTTCGTGAGTCGAGAATCCCAGGAACAGCACTTCGCGACCTACAAGAATTCACTGCTCTGTCGATTCTTCGGGGCGTACGTGCCTCGTGCTACCTCATGTATGTGCAGACGCGATGCTACAGACACGAAGTATATACAAATTTATATGCAGGTTAGCATATGCCTTTCGATTTTCAGGTCATCAGTGCACGAAATACGATTCTCCAAGCGGAGCAGCGTCTGTAGCCAGAGGAATTGCTCCTCGGTCGTCGGCGAGTTCGGCTAGTGGTCATGAACAACACGCACCTTGCTCCAACATGTAGCCATAAGACCAGGTCTACAGGCATGGATGGTATTGTAGACATTGCCTGTATGTTGTTCACCAAGGTACAGATGTGCAGAAAAGTCCAAACTTTGAGATTCCTTGCTGCAGGTTCGCTTGCGCCCTTCAGCCTCACGTTGTCTACGAGCCTTGACAGCAGAGGCAGTGACGCGCGATCCAGTCGACAGACGTCTTACGGCGCAGATGAAACCCCAATCCTTTTTTGACAGAAGGCGCACTGTTGGGCATTCCTTTTGTGTGAAAAATCCAAGCTGAGGACCTGAAAGGTACGACGGAAGATCGATGGGTGAATCCACGCCCGGGCACAGCTCCTCACAACAATATGGACCTAGTTACCTTTGCAGCGCGTTGTGACGGCCGCTCTGCTGCGAAGGGTAGGTTGCAAAAGTGCTGACCGCAGACAGCGCTAGGTTCTGAAAGACTTGAACTTTGCGGACAAGACCATTGGCATTCCTGACACAGGGTCGCATGTCAGGGATTTTCTTTTTGCAGGGCGTTTGGTCAGGAACTGGCTGTCAACTGTGCAGAAAGCGCATGGCATGTGCATTGAAGCGGCTCTGGCATGGCTAGCAGCTAAAGTGCTGGAGGATGCCTTTCGGAGTTGAGCCAGCGGCATGGCTGTAGCCAACATTTGCACGTTTGATCTAGATGGCTCTGTGTCATCCATCGTGCGAGACATTCGAGCGTTGCCTGCTAAAGTCGTCTTGCACTGCGCTGCATGGGGACCGGTGCACCTTCAGAGCAAAGGATTTGAAGCACAAAGCCGCGTTGCTTCACATCTTGAAGCGAGACACACAGTTTCTTCGAAGCCAGCATGCTGCTTGGCAGACTTTGTGACATTGCATCGAAGTTGAGTTTTTACTCAGCTTGTGCGCGCAAAGGAATCAAGTCATTCAGGTGATGGACTATTCGGTTTGCCTCGGAGTGCACTACTGCGAGGACAGGGCACAGGAAAGCCAGAATTTCCTTGTTCAGATCTGCTGGCAGTGGATGGTGGGCAAGTCAACTGTTCGTTCTGCAATGATGGGAATGGGTTCCGCACCAAGGTGTAGCCTACCTGGACATCCGAACGATGGATTCTCGTGTTCAGAAGCTGCATAGTGCCTGCAAGGAGAACAGCTATCCGAATGCGGAGCTCATCACGCCAGAGCCTGGCATCTCATCTGTGTCTCGACATAAACGTAAACGCTTTTGCATTCAGACTTTGGCATCATCCAGCGCTCCGGCCCAGCTTGGGACGTCAGGCTAAACAGTGAAGACGTGCTGAAGCCTTGACAGACAGCTGTTCCTGCTTGTCTGCCTCCTAGCAGACTGCATCTGGAACCCTACATTGCAGCTGCCATCTTTGCCGACCCCAAGCACCCAAGACCACGGCAATTAATGTCAGAGACCGAACCTGTGAATTTCCTGAAGCTCTGCATCACCTGAGCCACTGGCCGTCCTCCGCGGTTACGAGCCCAAGTACCAATGCACGCTAGCGACGCAGCTGCACTGCTGGGCTAAAGTTTTGTTGATGCAAGAGCGCCTACTCTGATGTGCACAGAGAGATTAGTGGTGCTCATGTTATCTGAACTGAGAATTTGACCTGTGGATAGCTTGGTGCCCTTGTCTTGCGAACTGGGACTTGGAGATTTGCTCATAATTATCTTTGTCTTGCTTGAGAGCAGCAACTAGGTTGATCAAAAACTCAGACCTGAGCTGTTGGTGGGTGTTTTTGGGCATAGTGGCCCGGGGTGCCCAGGTGCGGAATCAGCCTTTGCAGAAGGTGGTCTTCTTCATCGGCATCATTGACCTTTGTCTTTTTTGGACTCGCTGGCTCTCGAGATGGCAGAGCTGACAGCGAAGTGAAAAGCTTGTGTGCGCACCGACTGCTTTTTGTTGGTCGTTTAGGTATTGTTCCATCAAAGATTCAAAGCAACCAACAAATTTCATTTTGTGTTGGCATCGATTCGCAAGCTATCAAGCCAGTGGGCTACAGGGTGGTTCTTGTGACCGCGTTAGCCGAGGACATCTTACAGCAGTTCACCTGGATGAAAGCATTGGCGCATGCTGTGAAGCTTCTTTGTCTGCACTACTAAAATGCTCGAATCTCAATCCTTGCGACTGACCCTGCAAGGTCCCTCAGCCTTGGCTGGGTCCACGAGATCGACACAGCTCCCCCGGCTTACTACGCGAGGCGATTCAAGACGCCTCTCGGCCCACCTGCCACGGCCCAATGGCTGATAGCAATAGACATCCCTGTACGTCGTCTGTTTGTCAGATGAATGATGATGATGGTGATGATGATGAAGAATGTGTTAACTGTGTTAACCTTGCAAACCATCGCAGCGCATGCAAGTACAGTATCGCGGCTGCTTTGCTGGGAGTTTTATAAGTCAGGTTCTAACTAACTTAGACTTGCTGTTGAAGATCCAAGCTCAGGTCCTTCTGCGCGCGACTTGGCTGGACCTAGGAAGTTTCTATTCGAGGGATTGAGGCTATAGAAGAGTGCGCCTTTCCCGTGGTTGACGAGCCAGGAAGGTGCAAACTTTCCGCGAGCCTGAGGAGCCATGTCAAATTGCGATGCAGCCCTAACATGTAGTGGCACTATTAGATGAAGCGCGGTGGGCGTAGTGAAAGGAAATTCTCAATGTTCAGGCTGCTGCAGTAGGTTGTGCTCTCCGGAAGGATCGAGTTACACGCTTTGTTCGACGCTTGCGGCTGGGTATCGAGAACGGCAGCTCGACGGATGTGAGAGAGATTGGAGTCGATTTAACAGTGCAACATGCCTGGTGAGGAACCGTGCCTTGCCCCACCTTCGTCAGTGTCGAGCGGCCCCGCGCAGAGACCGACCCCGCGACACGGCAGCATGGAGCCTCGGTTTCCGTCGAATCATCGGACTTGATAGACTGTAGAAGGTATCTTTGGACGACTGCAGGTATGGTCTTGAGGGTCCAGGGCTGCTTTTGATTCGGCTGCATCCTTGCCGGATGAGACGAAAACATATTGCGCGTTCGCGTTCCTGTGTCTTTCAGGCTTGTGCACGGCTGGTGTCTTTCCGCCTTGAAACACATGGGCCCACGAGTCTGCGAAAGGGACCTGAAGCGATGTTGAAAGGAATCAAGCCAGACATACAGACTTGCAAGGGATCATAACGGACACCCCCAGACAGTCCGCAAGCAGGAGTTCAGTGCTGACCCTACGGCTGACGTGACGCTGGACGAGGCTGTGGACTTCGCTGTGAGGCCGCGAAGTAGGATCTTCCAGACCAGCAGGGGGAGCAAATGAATGAGAAGTTTTCAGCTCCAAGGCAGATATCTTGTGACTTTCCGCTGAAGGCGTGGCGGACAATTGCTAGTGGCCCGGCGCGGTCTGCTCCGAAGCCGGGCCGAGGAGGTGGAAGCATTTCTGGATATGGACAGGCACGCGCTGATCTTTCAGGCGAGGGGTGCTCATCAGTCTGCAATGACCGAAGGTCTTTAAAGCCTCTCAGGAAATGGCGCGACGTCCATATGCGCGTGGCCGTCGCCCCACCTCCCTGGTTGCCTGTTACAAGATTCGGCGGGTCTACTTGACCATCGTATGCTACAGGCTCGGTGCACGCTACCAAAGTTTGGTATGGGAGGTGGGGGTACTTCAGGCCCTGGAGTACTGCGTTTCTTACATTTGGCAGCTGGATGTCAGCCAGTTTAGGCGGATCTCCAGATTCCTGCTGCCCAGGGAGGGCTTGCTTCTCTTAGGGCCTTCTTACCAAGCTCCATGACGTTGAGTGGTGAGCTTGTACCAGTTAGCCAGATGCCATAGACTAAGCGCTGGCGAGGGCCGAGATGTTTGGTCTCATTGTGCTGCCCAAAGCCTGAACTTGGAAGTCTTTTGTCTTCGCTACACAGTGTGGCGCAGGCCACGTGACCTGTACTGCCTGGCTTGCCGCTCGCACATGATACTTGGCACGTGCAGCAGCATAAGCCCATCAGGCAATTCTTCTAAAGGTTTAGCTTTAGAAAGTGGCATCTCATTGGCTGTAATGTTGACCTCGCAAGAGAACCCCCCCTATCCCCCTCGATTGATCAAACTCCGGGGACCATTCCACTTTGCTAAACGACGGCCTTTATCTAGAAGCTTCCGGTACTACTGCGGATGGGGAAATCTTGCACCTCTTTCACAACGTAGATTTCTTGCAGCCCCATACCCCCTTTTAAACATTGGCATTGAACGTCTCCAGAAACACATGTGATCCAATGACGAAATTTCGCAGCGCCTCAGACAGAAGAGTTGTGAATGAAAAAAAAGAAGGGTGCAGGGATGCATCTTCACGTCATGGAAGATGCCTGTTATGTAGGTAGTGCAAGATTTCCTCCATCCGCAGTAAATGCCTCTAAACCGAATTCAGGGCTGGAATTTCGTAATTGTAGGGTGGTTTCTTGTTGTGTTTTGGGCCGGGGTTAACAATTTTGAGGTCAACATTTGTTCGGAGCATCCCTCGTAACCGACTTTGCTTGAGCTCGCAGTTTCGGTTGAGTGGAAGTGCAACCCGCTGAGGAAGATTGAAGCTGAGCCCCCTGAGTCCCGGCGCTTCACCGTGGAGGCTTAGACCATGCATAGGACTTGTGGCTTGGAGTAGTCTTTAATTTGTCTTACACGAAATCTGGATCGAACTGTGTTCGGCTGGAGCTCTCTCCACTCTGCTGCCGACGTTGGAACCTTTGACTCGCATTGTTCCTTGGCACAGCTTTTCATAGCCCTGTAGCAGGCTGACGACGAGGAGCCACTGAGGTTCACGGCACCTTCTCGGCGCCAGGCGAGGCTTCGAGAACTTTTCAAAATCAGGAGTTGAGCTCTGGAGCCAGAATACATTTTCCTCAGGATCTCTGTCAGCTCTGCTTTTGCACTTGCATGCAAATATTGGATCCCACGAGGCCCCAATGCACAGCTATTTATTTGGTTATGCCCTGGTCAATGGGTGACAACAGGAGAAGGTAGATAGAGAGAAGTGGTAGTCTTGAAGTTACACCCACTCTCACCCTTGAGAAGTTTGTGGTTATGGACAGGCTTCCAAGCCTGGAGGTCACATCAACTCCTGTGCTGTCAGGCCAAGCTGTGGGTCACGGCCTTGGAGGCCCGGCTTCTGGAAAAGCTCTGGTTTTCCCAAAGCAACTGCGGAGGGTCTTGCCGTAGGTTGCAGCTGGCTACGTCGAGTCCAATGTGGAAGATGTCAGGGAAGCGCAGGCAGCAGCTCTGGCTTTGGACTCAGTCAACTCCCTCTGCAGCACTCCAATCCGGCATTTCTCCACCAATGATTCTTCTTGTCAGCTATGCGAGACGTAAACCATTGCGTAGATTCCTGTCGATGTGACATGCTTCCGGCAGTTCTCAGCTGCGTCTTCAAAGCCAACCCCGGGCTCGGAAGGTCAGCTCTGCCAGTGGCCGCCCTTGTGATGTGGCCTTCCTGTCAAAGCCGGCGTCAGCGGAGCCTCGGACAGCATCTCGCTGTAGAAGGGCCACTCTTCTTTTTTATGGTTGCAAGCAAGCTCACCTCTGACATCCTCTGGCAAGATGTTGACATTGAGCGCTTCACTCCATTGTACTCTGCTCTCGACCAGTTTGCTTTTTCGCCATGCTGACATACAGAAGCAGGGCCAGAATACTACATCATACGGGGCCTGCAGTGTACAGACTCTTCCAATGATTTCAATCCTAAATCCAATTCAAAAAGCCTTCAACCAGCCTGATTCCAATCTACAACTCGGTGCTTGGATGGATGCTGGATGGTTGGGCATCATGTCCACACGAGCCTTCTGTTGGTTGGGTCCCAGAGCCCTGACATCCAAATCACGGGAAAATTGACCCAAATCATTCCCCTTAAGCAATGCTCTACTAAAATGGCCAGTCCAGCCCCCTCAAACTTTATGGTGGGCATATCGTTCCAAAACCCAGCCACCCCATTTTACGGAGAATTGGTGGTACATGAATCGTGCACAAGTTGCTTCATAGTCATCATTGGGCTGTTGAGAGTTCAGGGTGCTGGCCGCACTGAGAAGTGACGCTGACCCGTCCATGTAGTTTTTACCCTTTCGCAGAGATTGCCTTGGTTGCATATGGTTTCACAGGATGTATAGGTTTCCCTGCACATTGATTGATGCAGCAAGAGAGCTCCAGCACCTCATTTTACAGAGAAAAGCTTTCGTGACAGCGAGGTGGGCACCCCTCGATCGCAAAAGAGCATCCCAAAGCCGATTTTCTGAATCGCCGGAGCAGGTGCGTGCAGCACTGCTGGGCTCTCTGGATTTCCTTCTGGAGGACGGAGCCCCACAAAGATACATCTGCGAGCGCTCGAGGCGTGAAGTCAAGGCGTGAAGTAGCACTCTGCTGGCTTACCTTTCAGAAAAATCTTGTCCCTGCAGGACAAGGAGCTTGCAGCGGTGCTCAGCACTGCCCGCCAGGCAGCACCCTTTCTAGCCAGGAGAGGCTTTTAAAGTTGTGAGCAAAGTACACAGGGATGAGTGTTGGAGTGCTGCATCACTTAGATAAACAAGCAAACCGCTGGGGCCTTGCCTGCAGGCGAGACATGGGCTGCTGGAACCATATCTGCTTGGGCCCGAGGCCGATGTCATTGTGGCATGTCCCTTGTGTTGGAGTCCCGCCGCAGCCGTTGGCAGGCAGAACGCCGATGGCAGAAAAGGCGGTTGAAGTGGATTTTTGGCTTCGTTGCTTGCATGCAGGTAAGGGGATACTTCTGGGCGGACAAGCTCATCCCCTGTGTCATTGAGGTGGATGCAGATGGAACGGGAGCTCTGTCCATCGAGAAGATCAATCTGCAACGCAGCTGCAGTTTAGTGTCATACTTGAATCCCAACCTTTTGCGCAGCGCGCAAGGCTTTGGCACGAGATGAACATCAACGAAGAGGAGGGTCAGCAGGCTTGAGTGAAATCCCCATGAGCGTGAGCACATGTGACTCCATGCAAGTAAGAGAGCAGAAGAGGAGAAATCGTCTATTCTTGCATTCAGGACTATGTAGCCTTTCGCGGCAACGATTGAGCAAGGTATGTCATGTCCGCTTTGTAACTACGCCTGGTTGTATTCTCGAAAGGGAGCGACGAGATATCATCGGTTTTTGTATTGAGCTCAAGGCCCGTGGATCCAAATTGCGCAACATGAATTAAAGTTTCAAACGCTTTGCCACAATAAGCAGGTTACACACTCGCAGAAGGCCCTTCCATAACAATGCCAGGTCCTCACAGCCTTCCTGCGAGAGGTGGCTTGCCAGAAATCTAGATAGCGTGAGTGCTTTTTTCGAATGTAACTTGCTGTTGGCCGAAAGCAGCATGTCAGACATGAGTCACATGCGCCGTGCATTCATCTTACTCGAACAATGGCCAAAATCTGCATCCGTCTGGGGAGTGTTGCTCAGGAACGACAGGGGCGGCGATCCGGTGGTGGCCGCCAGATCGGCAGTGGACAGGTCTTTCGGCTCCAGGTGGGACGAGTCTGAGTGCGTGTTTGCACGCTAAGCTGAATGCTTGAGTATTTACTCGCGGTTCAAGTGCCTCAGCCGTTGACCTATTTTGACACTGCACGCAGGATTGGACTAAGATGCTCTCTCTGGTGGACAGTGCATATGCCGCCAGCTCAATCAACGAGACAAAAAGACAAGAAAGCCAAGCTATGAGTGACTCCAGGTCAAGGCCGTCCACCAGTGCGTGCGGGACCACCTCCAACTTGGCCGGGCAGTCTCGCGCAGCAGCGGATCGCCCCCTGGCCACAATGCAGACCTCAGCTGACCAGTCTTTGTCCCACGCGTGTGTCTTCAGGGAGCAACGGAAAGCACCAGGAAGGCTTCGAAAGCCAAATTCCGCAAACATCCACAAACCATGCCCTGTGACAAGGATGTCTGAGCTCATGGCGCCCAACCTGAGCTCGGAAGCACCTACAATGCAGGCGGGGCTCCGGATTTTGTGGCACTTGCGGGGGTAACGTAGGGAGGTAAAAAGAAAAGGTATAATGCATGGACGTCTGGTACCGCTCAAGTCTGCTCGATAACGAGTAGGCCACTGAGTATGCAGCCATTATGATTTAGAGGCATACTCCCTAAACCAGTCTTGATTTTGATGAACCGCCTCCACTCCAGACCCATCCCTCCACCTCCAGAAGCAAGCAAGGTCGTGCATAAAGCTCATCAGGTCACTGCAGCTGACTTGGCAGGCTTCTTCGCAGCCGTGCAGGGCGTGCCTTGGAAAGGATTTCCTTGAGGAGAGGTCGCTGTACGGTGCGGCCATGTGAGAGTATGTTCTGGTCTTCCTGTAGAATGCAGAGAAGAATCTGGTCCCCATTTTGAAGAATTTGGGTCCCCATTTTTTCGATTGGACTGTAGCGTGGGCCTGGGCTCAGGTCTGGCCACCCCCGTCAGAGCAGCAAGTTGAAAGGCTAATCGCGCGCAGCTTGGCAGCAGTGGCTTGCAAGCCAAGACCTTGACATGCTTTATTGCGTGCCTTTCAGGCCAAAGCCCTTCAGAATCCCAAACTCCAGTCGCAAGCCCGTCCCAAAACACAAAGACTTTCCGAACTCTGTTCCTGGCAAGGCCTCCCTGCACCCCTCTCCAAGCAGCACAGCCTCTCTGCTGAAGCGCTGCTTGGCTCAGAACGATGCAGTAGAAACTACTTCAGGAGAAAGCCCAGATCTTGCGAAGTATGTGAGACATGACTTGCCAAGTTGCCTGACATGGCAGTGTTCGCTACGTGAAATTTCAGCTGGATGCATTCCTTTTGTCCTAAATTGAGGACCTCATGTTCGATTTGTCTACGTGACACGTTTTGACTAAACGAAGTTGGCAAGAAGCAGCAGAATCTGTTTGGGTCGATCGTTTCCAGCATGCCGCCCATCAGCTCAGCTCTCATTCAACAGCCACAAGCCGTGATTTTGACGGAGCTGCGGCTGCTGTCGCCTGCTCTTAGTATTTGGACTATCATTTACTTTGGCTACTCCGCAGGAGGCCGCAAGCCAGATAAACCATGAAAAGCAACGGATGGTTCCTATCTCAGGCTCGTGCAGCTGCTTTGCTCACCAGGCAGGGCACTCGTGTCAGTTTTTGGATACGGAAAGCTGTGAAACGCATCATCGAGCATGCTTTCAGAGAAAAGTGAAAAGTGCCATCATGCTTGGTACTGGGTGCAGCGCGCCCAATTCGCAGAGAAGCAAAGCCTGTATCCTGTGGCCTTGCTGAGGGAATGCTCTGGTGGATCCCGCAAAGCGGTCATTGTTCCAGGACCGTCAGACGAAACCACGAGCCGAACCCGCAGAAGTCTCTTTTGATGCAGGACATGAACCAGCCGCTGTCTGCGTACTTTGTGGACACGTCACACAACACATACTTGGAGGCAACCTGCACGAGCCGAACTTGTATACCTAGATTTTCTGGACAAAGGAGTGGAGTGAGAAACCATTGCTCTCCCAGCTTTGGATCTAGTAGGTGGCGAGAACTCTTCTGTCAAGGTGTTGCTAATTGCTCGCTCCAGAATCCTAGATTAGCCCTAATCCTTCGTTCCGTCAAACGAAGATCCTGCGAGGGCAACCAGCTCAGCAGCCGATCCTCCGTGCTCCGCTACGTGGAGGTGCTTCGCACCGGATGCAGATCCGTGGAGGCAGTCTGGGATTTTTGTTTGAGGAAGTTCAGCAATTTGTCAACAGGGCGGAAGAGCCGGACCATGTCCAAACACGAGACCCAGGGTCACAAGGTGTTTGTGCCATGCCAGAATGGAATCCCGTAGCTGTCAACGTGGGCAGATAGAGCAGTGCTTATCAACGTACCGTCCATGATTCATGAGGTGGATGTTTGGGATGGCAGCAATGGCGAGCCAGTTGTCAAGCACGGCTACACCGTGACAACGGAAGTGTCGGGCTTGGCTTAGGAGCTGGCATGATCGAGGCAGGTATCAGGTTTCAGGTGTTTCCTGCACAGTAAGACAAACATGCTGGGGCTCCATGGCGCCAATGAGAGTTTTAACTTCTCCAATGGCATACCAGCAATAAAATTGCAAAAGTGAGCTTTCACCACAAGCCGTGAGTTTGACTTAAGGTGATGTTCCAGGATGTCATACAGGCCTGGACTTCTGATTTAACCGGCGCAGAGTAATAGAGCCTCTTGCTGCGCAAGCTCTGCAGGCAATCGCCGACCACGCGCACCTAAGTCGCAAAGCTTGTCCGCAAGATTCACGGCTTCGGAGTCCATGTTGCGCGTTCCAGGTTCGTTGCATCGGAGTTTCCTCTGATTGTCTCTATTGCTCCTCGTTTGCAAGTTGCTGTGTTTGAGATGGAGTGTAGCCTATTCACGACAGGGTGGTGGCCGTGCTTGCTTCCTGCCACACCTACGAAGGAAGCCTAAACATCTATCTCACAAGCATCTGAGGAGCAGCATTGCTGTGCAGCGCAGCGCGTCCGACAGGGTCAGATCATGTCTGAAGTGTTGGGAGATCAGCTGCTGAGGCCGTCCTTGCTGGGAAGGGATGTGCTTTCAATATTGCCATAGGAAAGGGCGGCTCGCGTTGCCAACAGTTGGGCGCCCGAGAACACGTGTCAGGATGTCCTGTGATATTTGTGTGCGCAGCGGGCACTGCAAGTACTTGAGCTGAAAGACAGGCGTAGGATCTTTTCACTCGACTGCACAACTCTTGTTCTGTTTTCCCAAGCCAATTTTATAGCTGTCATTTTTTCTCCAGAGTGTTCGGCTCCTATTCCCTGGCACCACGAGCTGCCAGCACATGATCCAGCATGGCCCAAATCCATCTATGAGGACTTAGGCACTTTGTGGCTACTGTGGAACATGATATGAAGAGGCCGCCTTGGGACGAGCAGCACCAGTGCATCGATGCTGCGCAGGCTCAGGGAGCTCAGGGCGGGGAGTCTGATGGCATTTAGGACCAGTTAAGATGCGACGATGCATTGGAACTGGCCAAGCAGAGCCACCGCCCATTCCAGTTTGAAGGACCCCATCGTTCCCCTGTCAAGGTAACTCCCGATCTAACCCTCCTGCATAGGCAGACTGCATTTCGCCATGGTCCGCACGCAAGAAAGTCCTCGTCAAGTCCTCGTGGCTGGGGTGGCAGCAAAGGGTTAGTTTAAACTCTACACTGCCATCATGTGCATTATGTCCAAGGCAACTGGTGCCGCAGCCAGTCATGGCAAGAGAATACCTTCGCCACTCAGGATTGGCTGTTGCGAGCGCTGTCGCCGGCCCCTGCCGGTATATGATCGCTGCGTAGCTCTTCCCACGCGGACGCTTGAGCTGAAAGCAGTTTGCACAGGTTGATTACACATGCATCGCGCCAGTAGCTCTCGTGGTATCAAGGAAACTTCTTCACAAGCTCGTGGAAAGGGAGGCATGATGGCTCATCTACATAGTCTGCAGTCCGCAGTGTGTGCCCTGTGGCAGTTGAGCGATGGTAGCGCTTCTCCAAGTGCCATGTCTGTGGAGCAGGACATTCACTTGAAGAATCCAGTCAACTGCAGATTTGGATTCCCTGCTTGTCAAGCAGGACGCCAGCCCTCCCTTTGCAGTGGCTTCAGGCACTGTTGCGAAGGTGCGAGCTGATCAGTCCTGCTTTGCCTGAGTGATTGCAGAAGTATTCAGGTGCATAAGCTGGAGAAGAGCTTGGGCCGCGACGCGCTGCGACGCTGGAATGCGGTACATCTTTCCCGGGTATACCCCGAAGGAACGCGCATCGGCTCGGGCAACGTGGATCCGGCGTCTTGCCTTTTTTTTTTTTTTTTTNNTTGCAAATGTCATGTACTCAAGACCTGCTGCGCCCTTAAGGCTTTTTCTCGTTGTTAAAAGCAACAATTTTCGGCTGCCTTTTCTGGGAGCTTCCTTTCTTCTCACGAGGTCATTTTGGAACATGGTGGCCAGTAGGAACACACAGCAGCTGGGCCAGCTTGCACCTTCACAAGTGATCGCGGCAAATTTAATTGTCATCTCAAGTCGGAGCATATGCTCAAGTTGTTTCGGCTCGTTCCGAATTCGAAGCGGGGTGTTCTAGCTCGCTCCATTGGGCAATACCTTGCCTGAATTGGTACGCGTCAAGCTGATGTTGATTCTTCAGAAGCATCTGCCAGGTTGTCCTAGTGAGCGTGCCGTAGATGGTGACATGTCCTGCGATGTTTTAAGGGCAGCTTCGATTGCAGCTTCATGGGCAGCGTTACGAGTGGAGTTTTAGGGCGGAGTTTACTGGCGGACGTTACCACGGAGTGTACGCGCGGCTTTACCGGCGGAGTATGCAGGCAGTGTTTGCTGGCGGGCGATTTGGTTGTTGCGTATGGGGCCGGCTCCATTTGGCAGAGGCTACTGGGCGCATGGCTGCTTCTGGGTCTTAATGTTGCATCTGAAAACAGAGTTCTGCACTGAAACTCGGAGAAAATTAGCAACTACTGTAGTGGCGCATGAGGTCTGCAGGGCTAGGGTACATGACAAATGTCGGCGACTTGGAGGTGCCTTTGTTACAGTTGGTGCTCAGACTAGGTTCCAATGTGGCTCTGCGGCGTGCAGATGGTTGCCATGAATTACCAGACTTCCGACACTGGCCTCTTACTCAACGAAGGACCGCGTGGACATGACTTGATTTCTATCTCGGTTCTGATACCACACTGTTACCAGTAGAGTCCTCTGCTGGGGATGCTGAAGCGTGGAACTGCTGAACCATCTGGTGTATTGGCAGAAGATGTGGGCTTGAATGCATCTGATGTCCACTTGAAGCTGCGCAGCACCAGAGGCCTCACAGTTTAGCTGATGGCCTAATTCTTCAGGGTCGGACTTGAGCGTGTGGAGGTTTGTTTCGGAACTACAATGGCGGGTGCGGCTACGTGTTGCACCTCGCCTCAATGTTTTTGCATGCTGCTCACACTTTGTTCCATGGCCACTGAATCTGTGCCAAGCTGACGCCTGCGGCCAAGTTTGGCCCAAAGGGTTTCAGATGACTTGACATGAACATACACGAGCTATCATGGAGCTATGCGTTCCAATTGCTAAGGAAACCGCCTCTCCCCACGGACGGCATGCCCTCTTCGCGGAGGTGGGGAGACGGGTGTCCCTTTTTCAAGAGTCTCGCCCGGCCCAGTGATTATAGTAGTGACTAGTAAAGGATGATGCCTGAGTTCTGAGCCGCAGCTTGTGTGCGAAGGCTCCGCCTCTGCATCTGCTGTGGACACCGTCTTCCAAGGCGAGCTGTTGTAATTCCGAGAGCCTTGGGACTAGGGGTCACGACGTGAGCTCAAGATGGGCTCAGCGGGATCTTGTTCATGGCCAGCCATTAAGCAGGACGTCACCGTAGCCCTGACATGCCGTGCCGCTAGGCCGGACCTCTCGCTGGGTGAGGCTCGTGGAGTGGCTCGGGCGAAGAGCTGTAGATTTAACACACATAGCAGACAAGAGTCTTCAAATTGTTTCACGACCCTTCCAAGTGTCGCGACTGCTGATGTGAGGTCAGCTCGCCCATGGTCACAGTGTCTCTGGAGCCTGGCCAGCAGGCCTCACACGGCGTCTTTTCAAGAGTGTCCCCACAGCCTTTCTTGTAAGCCAGGTCTCCCACACCCAGGCTGTCAAGCAAGATGGTTACCATCCTGTGTTTGATCACGAGGCCGAACGCAGACTTTCAGGAGAAAGTGGTGCTGAGAAATTTGCGTGTTCATGTTCTGTGCTGTGTCAGGTGGAGCTCATGGTATCCGACAGTCCCCTGCACATCCTGACTTTCGAGGTGGTTGCAGCTCGGACCAGCAGGCTTACTCGTGGGGCATTGCAATTGTAAGGCAATGGTTTTTAATAGCCATAGCAGCCATGTTTGTGAGCTGAGCCTTAGAGCCGAGGACACTCCCACAGGCAGAACCATGGCCAGGAGAGCCTTCGGTACCGAATTGTGACTTCACCTGGTTTGCATAGGCCAGAGGCATGCTGGATGAGATTCGCTGACACCGGAAAACATAGGTGTAAACTCATCAGAACAGTTCGTTCAAATGCTACAAGCTTCCATTGTGACAGGAGTGCTGTTATACTCGATGCCGTGCGAGAGGGCTTCCGCTGGCTGGCTCTGTACAGTCCACAGGGCCACAGCATCCCAAGATGTGGCCTGCTGCTGAAGGTTCAATTTCTGCCTTGACAGGCGTGCTAGAGCTGATATTGCTCCCGAACATGAGTTTGATGCGTTTTTCCTAGCCATGCAGCTGCAGCGGTGCTGAAAGCTGCTAAGAACGCACAGCGAGTGCGAATGCCGGTTAACGCATGCACTGTTTCCTGCGAAGGCTATTGCTGATCCTGCTAGTATGTGGCAGGATTTCGTGGGTCTGCTTGAACATCCCTCCTATAACCTGAATTTGGAGAGATTCTGAGACATTCCGCATGTCTTCGACAAGCCTTGCAGGGCAGTGACATCAGCAAGATGTTAATGTGCCTCGATCTGTCAGGGGGCTACTGGAGAAGCATTAGCTAGATTAACCTCATGGCCTTGCAGTAGCAGTGTACCGTCCTCCTGTGGTCTGAGTAAAGAGCAGGGATGAAGAGTACGGCACCGGCAGGGATGGTGATGGTAACAGCAGCTATACTCGGATGTCATGGAGCATCTTCTGCAGCCTCCTTGCAGTTTCGATCATGCGGTCTGCCCAGAGCTTCAAAAGACTTCTTGATCTGCAAAAGCCACACGCAGGCATGCGACTGTTTTTGGCCCAGCTTACAGGTAAACTTAGATCCCTGCAGTAATTGCTGTCAGAGTTCCAGAAGTCCGGCAAGTAGCGGATGTAGCTAAGCCCTAAAGAGATTTCGTGTGGGACGTTGCTAGGGCCTGCAAGAAGCTGTGTACCCGGCCTCCAATTGTGGGTGCCTGGGTGCTTGGACTCAGGCCAGGGAGCTCCATCACCTCCATTGCCTTCGTGCGCGCAGGAGCTCTCCAGGCTGGATGGCTTGCAGAGGTTGCTACCTGCAGCTGCACTTTGACCAGTCAAAACGGCTCTCAAAGCCATGTGTCTTCCTTGTCCGGCAGAGCATCTTGTTTGACTAAGAGCGCCAGTCGAAGGCCTGGAACCAGATGCTGAAGGTGGCTCCACGGTCGGTGCTAAAGGATCTCTGGAAGGAGGCGGCACGGAAGGGGAAGACGCTGCCTGATTTTTGTTGCAAGTTTGCAGGCGGTTCCTTTGAAATCCAAGATCCTTACATTTGTTTCCTTGCTCAAAATGGATTCCTCAACACTTGGACCTTAATCATACATACCTCCTTTTTCCTGCGTACCTCAACGGTCAGATCCAAGCTCTTCACCTCTGATGCTTTGCCAGGTTCTGCAGCTAGTTCTTGAAGGGCCCTGCGGCAATGGCAGCCTGTCAGCAAACCTGGTTCCACACTATAAGAGCTCGGGTTTCAAGATCTATTCCATTTCTAGATGGAGCAAAGGGCCTGTCCCGCAAGCCGATTTGGTTTGAGGGAAGCCTTTTTTTTGTGGTTGTGAATGGCGTAACCCTGGCTAGCTCAAATCCAAAAAAAGCTAAGTCGACCGAATCTATTTGTGCCTGTGTGCCGGACCCCGCTGAGAGCCCACCACTAAACATTGAATTCTTAAGCCACAAATCAAACCCAACATCCGCAACCTTACGCTCCCGATCCTACAAAAGCCATGCGTCTCCCAAAGAGCCAAAATCCATCCAAAACCCAAAGCCCACTCCCCTTTATTCTATGCTATTGGACCCTGAACCTTCCTCTTGAGGCCGGAGGCCATGGAGCTGAAAAACTAAAGCCCCAAGTGTTTCAGGGTTTAGGGTCTAGGGCCCCTTAACTCAAAACCTCCAAGAAACTCCCAAGCCCTACCGGGCCCCCCAAGTCCCAAGTTGTACCATACAGGCAGGAAACAGGATGATGAGCATAGGAAAAACACGGCAGACTAGAAATCTGCCTGGGCAAAGCCGAAGAAGCCAGGACCTTAGGCAGCTTTATTGACAGCGCGTGGCCTGTGCCAGACTAGAGCCAGTATGAAATTCAATCAACCCTCTGTCCAAAAAGGAACGTGTGCAATCTTTTCGCACACGTTGCGATCTTATTGGTTCAATGCGAGGTCACCAGCGACAGGAAACGTATACGCATGAGAGACAAAATTCATCGATCGCGGAGCTGATAGAACCGCGCTCGCAGAGCAATGGTTCGAACGGCTACAGACCGTGGACATGCCCTTGATGCCCTTCTCATCCCAAAGCGGCTGTGTGTAATGCTTTTGACCGCAGGCAGTTTCCGCCTTCGGGTGCTGTAGGGTTTTAGAAGCTTCCATATAACTTTGATGCCTCAACAGCCTAACCATTATGTCACGGTCAATGCCCAGGTGATGCAGATTTTGGTTCTCACTCCAACCTGCGGAAACTTCGTGTGGCCAGAGCCTTTAGGGAGGAATGCGCCCTTAGCCAAGCACCCACGCACCCTGTCATGGTTCGCTGCAGGCGGTTGCTTGCAGAACCGGGCTGGTGGCCTTGCCCCCTCGGCTGGCGTGCAGTACTCAGCGAATTCAGCAAGCCTTCAAGCCGCTTCAAGCCTCCCTTGCTTTTGGATCCTAGTTTGTTCATTTTGTCCTTCCCCCTCAGGCCCTGGCGCTACGAACGTGGAGCACGCTCCTTGCTGGTAAATTTTGCGGAGGACGGCAACTACACAGCCGGCCTGAGTGCCCAGTTTGCGACTGACGCAGGCCACCGGCAGCGCGGTGCCCATTACTTCTGCAGGCGCACGTCCGATTGAACAACGCCTCCGCAAAGCATGCCCGCATGATGAATCACGATGATGCATTTAAAGCGTGCCCAGGGGTCGCAGCCACAAGTCGGGAACTGCCAGCCTAACTCTGCACGCCAGGTCTGAATGTTGGCTCCGTGAGCCATGAGGAGGATGCGGAGGAGGATGCCCCTGAGGAGGTCGAGGAGGCACTCTCGAGTCTGCATCCCCTAAATGTTGAGAACAAGGCCTGTGCTTTGCCTTGTGATCAGGTCGTTGAGCTTTTGCTCTCTGCTCTGCGTGATTCAGAGACGGTTGTGCGCTGGGCTGCGGCAAAAGGTGTCGGCTTGGGGCCAAGCTGGGTTGCCGCCCCACGCCTGTTTTGTTCATCATGACAAGCTTGAGCCTGCCATCCAGGCCGCATCACTAACCGTCTCTCGCGAGACTTCGGCGACCAGGCTGTACTTGCACAACCGACTACAGAAACAGGGCAGGGTCAGCGATCAGTTTAGGAGGCAATCCTGAGCTCAAGTCCCACTCAGTAATACAGAGATGTGAGATCTCCGAAATACAGCGGGTGTAACCGTACTTGTCATTGGAGGTGCTGGAGTCATTGCTTGACCGCTGCTTCTCCTTCCGCGAGACCGATAAGGCTGCCGCAACGAGAAAAGCAAAAACCGTGTTCCATGTTGGCTTGGACATTTTCCAGGCCTGGCATGGCGGCTGCCTGGCCTTGGCGTCAGACTCAGTGAGGTCGGCAAGCTTGTTTCGATTTGGCTCAAAACGCCTTGTCACTGTCTGCACTTTTAGTTGTCGACAACCATTCGGAGTTGGTCCTGCCTGCACTGAGTTGTCCCTTGTTGTCTCCTTGGCTCTAGTTCTGTTGTTCTTTTCATGATTTGTGTCGAGATGCAACGCCCAGAACACAGTCCAGCCTTGACGCCCAGTACCTATGCAGTTCACTATCTTATCGGGACATTGCGTAGTTGGATACCGTTTGGATGGGATGTTTGGTCGGATCCGAAGCCACATTTGAGACATGACGCTTTTGCTGCCCACGCAAGTTCTTACTGCGAGCGCCGGTACTGCTTTCGCTGCTGCCTTCCCTGGCAATTTGACTTTGAGATGCTTTGGGATTTAGGCTGAGCTAACGCGGCGCGGTCTGCTGCTGCCCGAGCGACTGCCCACAGTGATCCCGTTGATCTGCCAGGCCCGGCAAAATGTTTCCAAGGTTGAGCGCTCATTGAGACGCAGTGGAGTCGTTGTGAGAACCCGACAGATGAGAGGCCCTGCACTTCGAGCAGGTTTCTGGCAACCATGCAGTAGGTTGGCCCTCCAGATGTTTGCATACGTGTGTTTGGGTGCATGTCATGTGTCCTTCGGCTGCGAGTCCGCTGAGGTCAGCACGTACGGGATGCCGCCTGCTACGTGTGGTTCACAGCGTGTTTGGTGTACTTGTGTTTAAGAGCTGACTTCCAGCGCCAGGTTTGCTGGGCGTTCGCGCGTGCATATGCACCTGACGTTCTGCAACCGTACGTGGCAGACCTGGCCAAAGCTTTAATCCAGGCGCATGGAAGATTTTTTTGGCGCTGTTTTCTGCAATGCACAGTGGAAGGTGTTGATTGTGGTAGACTGGTAGAATGCCGCAGGTTGCGGTTTACGACCGAGAAATCAATTGTCGGTGGCTGCCTTAATGTGTCACTGCCAAGCCATTGCCGCAGCTCTGATACAAGCCGATCCGAGCTGGACATGTAGACACCTTCGGGATCCTTCGGGTGTTTGGGCAGAGGCGTGCTGCTGCAGCTGCTGTGCAGGACAAGAGCCTCGTTGCAGCGGGCCAGGTCTTTGCATTTAATCCAAGTCTGTAGTTTCATAGCAAAGCCCCTGCACAAACTCGAAAAGTATACACCGTAGGTGATCAGCCGACAATTCAGAATTTGCGGTGCAGGAGAATGTGGGCCGACAAGGAACCTTCCCAGATGGCATCGAAGTTGCAGCTTGGCAAGGGTTCATAGAGCACCCACTTGACTGCGGTTTACTCATTTATGCTGCCGCAACTATCGGCGGCCTGCAACAGAGATGTGACCTGCGCTCTGCAGACAATAGTGTTCAATGGATTTAAATGGTGAACGTCGAGTATCTAAAGTTTCTCCTGCATGCGCGTCGCATCATTTTGAGTCACATCATTTCGAGCTGGACTCGCGGGCTCACAGGTCACTATTGCCGACTACTGGACTCTGTCGGGTCGGCGCCATGCGCATCTTGGTGACAAGGGTGATTGGAATTCACCTCGCACATATATGATACATGTTGTAGCGCGCCGCGGAGTTTGCGCGTATCATATCAAGCTGACGGAACACGTGCATCTTTATCACTGTTACATATAGACACCAAACATAACTTGAAATTCAACACTCTTGCTAGGTATCTCGAGGTTGCGCCAAAGATTGCCGACCTCGGGAGCGGTGGGTACAGGCCAGCAGCACAAAGCCAGCTGAGTTTACACCCTTTCCGCACTTTTGCCACTGTTCAATCCGGGGGTGTAAGCCAGCGGACATCAGAGTGTCAGCTGCCTTTGCGAGCTCGATGCCGGAGAGGCAACCTTGCATGCTTTTTTGTAGGTATATTCCTGGCTCTTATGAGACGAGTCTGTTCCAAAACTTTGGCCCCGACACCATTGCCAGTGTTTGCCTCTAGGTGTTTGCCTGCGGGAAGGGTGGGGAGAGGTTAATTGCTTAAAGGGCAACTCAGAATCCAAGAGCAAGGCGGCTTTCAAATTTGCCAGGCAAGCCCTGATCGAGCATCTGGTGAGCCGAAAGTTGGCACACCAAGAACCTTGGAGATGCAGAGACATGCAGAGACTTTCGAACCTTCGTGAATCCTGAAGTAATACGGGAAGGCTAGGTCTGGTCCCCCTGAGCAAAGGGTAGGCACACTTGCTTCACTTATCTGCCACTTTTGTGCCGACTCCTGCACCGGCTCACGGAGCTTTCCGGGGAGCTTGGTTGGCGTGCCGGGAAGATTTTTTTGGGAAGCATCCGGAAAAATCAGCATTGCATAATCCTGTGACGGCCAAGGACCTGCAGATCCGGATGCTTGCAGCAAAGGGCCTGGCACGTCTTGCCAGGGAGCCGGGGCCTGATGCAATTATAAACAGGCGCTCCCTAGCTACTTGCTGGGTGCGCTAAGTGCCAGGCTGCTTAAGGCTTTGGTTGCTCCCAGTCGCGCAATCAGGCCCTCTGATGACACGCTCAGCTTCCTCAACACTGTTGGCGCCTCAATCTGTGGGCCTGGGCTGGTGATATGAACATCATGTCGGGAGGCCATAAGTTAGCTGAAGCATGATGCAGCTGCTTGGGCGAGGTGGTCATACCAGGCTTGGTTGAGCGCTCCACCGCAGAGCAATCCAGTTCACCTCTCAGTGCCTTCAATGCTAGAAACTGTGCTGTAAGCACGCAGGGAGCAGAGGTTCAGATAGTTTCCAGGCCTTGCCTTCGTGAAGAGTGTGACAGATGAACGTCCTTGTCTGGCACAGATGTTATGAGTGTTGACTTGACTGCAAACCTGGCTCAAGCTCGACATTGCTCAGTTGCGGCTTACCCTGCAGTAACCAAAGTGGAACCTAGGTCTTCTCCTCCATTAAAAAAGCTTCACTAACCTGAGTTTCTCATCTCGAGCAGAGTCTGCACCAGAAGTTTCCAGTCCAGAAATGCGCATCAGTCAGACCATGCCCGTCTCAAATTGAACTCAAGAGCAATCAGGACGCGTGCATTTCTTTTGAGGGGGTGGCCTGCTTGCCGTCTTGCGGCCGCCCTACACAGGCTGGACATCTTCATACAGTAGTACCGATCATCAAATTCTTGCCTCGGATCACTAGCGGGACTCGAGCCCGCAAATCTTTCTGGCACTATCATCGAGGTGCAAAAGCCTTCGAGGTCTGACTTGTTGTTGAACTAGATATAGATGCGAGAAAGCCTGGCCTTTTGGACACTCAGCCATGCGTTGCAAAGCCCAACCTGAATCCCAGAAGACCCTGACCTCTTTCCAGGCGCACATGACACGGCCTTCAGACGAAGAGCCGCAGGATGAATCTGTGAAGTTCATGCAGTGTTGTAACCTAGAGGTGCAGGGTGCCCAGGTTGAGCCGCATCCAGGAGTGCAATTCAACTGCCTTGCTCGTGCTGAACTCACAAGCAGGAGTCAACTGCCATTCGTCGACAGTGGCCTGCTTGGCATTGTTGTTCCGGGTGCCAGCCCAATGGTCACTAAGTGTGCTCGTGACTCTGTAGTCTTATCCATCAATAATTAGTTGTGCTGGCTGTTGTTGGTGATATTGTTGTTGAGCCTATGATGATGCAACGTCTGACCTCACATTCCATCAAAGAGATCGCTCCACCCTGCAACAAGCTGGAACGTTTCTTGCTTAAAGCTTGCATTCATTTGTGGGTGGGTGTGAATCACCTCCAAGAGGTAAATGCTCCTGTTAAAATTCAAGGAATCTCCACCATGGGTGCCCCTCGCCAAAGCGGCCTCGCACAGCTCCGCCCTCCAGGCACGAGCCGCTGATAGCCGCCGTGTCATACTTTCTTTGCATTTGGACCTAGCGAGCAGGCACCACCTTTAGTAGTTTCCATTTTCTTTTCCATTATCATATAGCCCCAATATAACCCAAATATCCAGGATAGACCGACATTGTTAGATGGGCATTGCTCCAGGAGTCCGACCCCTGAACGTCGACCGCAGGCTTGGCCTGACTCAGACCACTTGTCTTGCAATCTTCAGAACTACCGCCTTAAGATCATTTCGGCCTAGGGTGAACTTGGGAATGTCCCAGAAGGTTTTACAGAAAAAGTGAGCCCTGTGGACAAGATCTCCACATGTGATTTTGTGCAATGGCTCGCAAAATGTCGCCCAGCAGCTGCATGATGAGTTTCCAAAAGCTGAGGGTTATTTGGTCTGCGACGTTGTGGAGCTGCGGGAGACAACCTCCTGCCTGCATAGCGACACGCTTGCTGACGCCTGTAGCAAGCTCTGCCAATCTGGGCGGACTGCCGTGGTAGTGCTGGGCAGGAAACTGGGCCAGATGTTTTCAAAGGTATTGACTGCAATGGTTTTGGCATGCGTTTGAGAGTTGTATTGTAGATAGGAGCTTCATGCCACTGACTTGCACACTGACATCTCTTGCCTTAGGAAGGCATGCTACAGTTTTGAAAGCTGCTGCGCTTGCTCGCTAAAACCAGCTGCACTTTTGGCTAGATGGCTAGATGTATTGAGATGCAAGGAGTGAAGAAGTGCAAGGCGTGCTGACAGAGAATGACATCCTGCAAGCGACGCCAAGCCGGAAAGACATTTGAACCATAACCTAAGCTCCTGAAAGGGGGATTATATAAGGGATTAGGGTTTAGGGTCTGAACTCCTTAAAGGGGGTCCAGCATGCTTTTGGCAAGCGGCTCTTCTGTGCGTACCCCGTGTTTTTTGATTCACAAAATGCTTCAGCATGAAGCCGGGTGCTTCCCCGACAGTGAGCTCAAACATGCACGGTTGGGACCCAGAATGCGTTGGATCTCAGGATCGTTACGGGCGCTGAGTGGGACCAAAGCCTCGAGAGATGGCTGGGGGCTAAACGTTTGCATCAGCATAAGCTGCTTGAGCTGAATTCAGCGCTTCCTGTTCTGCGGGCGCTGAGGCTCCAGGAAGGTCCTGCGCGGCTTCCTGGGTTCCTGGTGCCTCCGATGACACTCGGGGCAGAGACCCCACTAGTGGAGGCTGAACCGGGCTGAAGAAGAATTTGATGCAACATACACGATGAAAATGACATGTAGAGTCAATAAGAAAAAGCAAAGGCTGCCTGGAACTGGAAAGATTTGCCAACATGTTTAGGCCGCCAAGCTGATGGCAGAGCAAGCGGGAGGCAAGTTCTCCTGTCACCATCTCCTGGTCCAGGTGGCCTCAGGCCTGGGATGTGAATGTGGAATGCCACGTGAGGTCTCATCAGCCTCCCATGATCTCATGGCAGGCCAACAGGATGCCTCGGGACGGCCCTTGAAAGCGCGGCTCCTCTCTGCCTTGGACATTGCCAACGGCATGATTGAGGCGACATCTGAGACCCTCTGGAAACAACACAGAAAACCCTGATTTAGGCGTCACGTGCTTTTCCTGCAGTGGCTAGCAGGCAGCGAAGAGTTCCGTGGCAGCAGAGCGGGCTCTGGCTTTGTCCGTAAGGCCGCCTGGCTTTGAGTTTCTTTCTGGCTAAAGCCCTGTGTGTTGTTTGGTTCATCTGCATTTTTTCTGAAAGATGTCCGAGCGAGGCATGTCATGAAGCCACGCACATCTGTTCCTACCTGCGCTTCTAGCCAGAGTGTGTTGGAGGCAAGTTGGCTGCTTATTCTTTGATTAAGTGAATCACATCATGCTCCGTCATGTAGTTGGCTACACGCCAGTGTGCAGTCGTGCACTTGCGCAGGCCTTTCGCCTCCTGTCGGGCTCACAGCAGAACTGCGTCCTGGTGACGGGTGAGAAGGATGAGGAGGCATGAGTAGCCTAGTTCTCATAAGGGTTCCAATCACTGCTCTTTTTGATGGGCTGCCGCCATATCGAGCCTGGAAAGAGCACTTCACACACTCCCAGGCCTCTGAGGAGGACAACGTGAATGAAGACTCCACAAGAGGGGCTGCTCGGTCTTCTTGTCAGTTGATCAACGCGTTTGGGCTTTCGCTTCGATCTGCCTCCAACGATGTGTCTCCAGTCCCAATTGAGGTCGTGACGCCCGTGGATGCGTTGCTGGCATTCTCGGAGAAGATTACTGGAGAGAAGCGGACTCACAGACAGCAGTAGGGCTGCGAACTGGGTAACGTAATGGAATCGACGTTCTGTGGGCGTGCGGCATCTGGGGAAGTGTGCCAAACCAGCAAGGATCTTGCGAGACTGGGTTCGTGGTGTGAATGACACGCCTGCAACTTCTGAGCGCTTCGCGCTCCGGCAAGGGATTGGAGGATCTTGTCCTTTGTGCTCAAAGACATCCAAATAAGGCCTGTGCGGGGGTTGAGGATAATCTCGTTCTCCAAGTTTGAATCTGACCTTCTGATGTTTCATCACCTTGAAGCTAAGGTTGACGAGTCCACATCGCTGGCATCAGCTGCCTCCATGATGGCCTGCACAGGGCAGCACCATCTGCTTGTGGCGCCTTGATCCCAACTTGGAATAACGGCACGTTGTTGACACATTTCAATGAAGCTCCCCGGCATGCTCATGGAGGCGGAGCTCCACAGCAGCCGAAAGTGAATATCCAAAACCAGAGACTTAATGATTTGACGTTCAGGATGAAGTCAGGTCACGGCAACAGAAACAAGGCTGGCAAAACGCATTCAGACATGCACGAAGAGTAGCTTCAAGATTGCTTGGAGCTTTGTGCGGACAACGTGTCATGCTTGTGGTGCGCGTAGAGCTTATTCAGGACAGTCCGACTTTCCTTGCGGCACGCGACGTTGGGGACAATCAACTCTGAGATATCTCCGAAGGGAATTCGACCACGTGATTCCTCGACGCACGAAACACAGAATACGAACAGACACCTCACATGGTTCGCAAACGTGGAATTTCTGACGCATAGCATCAATGCGGCGTCTTGAAGCCGCCCGATTCCTTGATCCCGACACATCATTTCCAGCCCAAGCCCCGCAGACCCAGCACCGCAAACTTTCATCCCTAAAATCTAACCTCTAAGCCCAAATCTTCTTGAGGACACCCCCATTGGCAATTTCAGAAACTCCCAATCCTGAGTAAGCGCCCAACATCATTGTATGCATCTAACATGCATGCCATGCACATCCCCGTGCAGTGCTCAGTCTTGCTTTGCTTGCAAAAATGGTAGACTTCCTCATCACAAGGGTTTCAAGAAGACCACATACGGAGAGATTGCCATGTGTTCGGAGGATCCTGTTTTGAGAGACAGGCTGTGCCCAGGTGCAAAGCCAAAGCCCACAGGTTCTTGGCGTGGTGTCCGCGCTGGACATCGTGCGTGCTCTCAGCCACCGGGACAAGCACTGAAATGTGATTATTTTCCCGGCTCAAAGGGTTCGGGGTCAACTGATTACCGAATGTCGGTTTGAGCGCATGAAGATTTCACCTGTTGCCCAGAGAAAAGGTCAACCATGATGCTGGCAATCAGTATGACTTTCCAAGACTGAAGCAGTCCTTCTGCCAAGGAGCCTCTGACTAAAACAAGAACGGAACTTCCTCCAATAGCTCTGTGCGCATATTGATATGGCAGATGGTCTGGAGACCACAGGAAGAGACATGGCCAGGGTTCCCAGGCTGCCCTATTTCCATCACTAGCAGACTCCAGGATGTTAAAGGTCCTGATTTGTCAATTGCAGAATACAGCATGTACTTGTACATGAGGCCTCTGGTACTCCATTCCTTCTCAGGCCACGCGCCCGACAAACACACAAAAAGAGCGGCAGTGGCACATGTTCGTCGTAACAGACTTCTAGACTTCTGTGTGTATGACACTTTGTGTATTGGCTAGCTCAGCTTGTATCGTTTGTGGTGAACAGGCTTTATGAAACGCGGAGCCGCATCTGCACAATGTCGGGGCACACGTCCCGCGATTTTGCTAAGGTCGGCTCTTTCATGTGAGCGAGGAGCCCTGAACTGCCTGGAGCAAAAGGACTTCAATGCATTCAATCATTTTTGCAAAAGCTACATCAAGCACCTGTCTCTTGGGCTATTGTTTCGCCAAAGCATGTGCTCTGAGTGCACTGAGAGCATAGTGGTTTCAGACCGTCGGTTTCACAGCCTTGTGACGGTCAGTTTCAATGCAACATGGGGCCAAGGAGCTAGTGTCTACGATCCCATCTACGCCTATGGACTTGCAGTCCACCAGGTCGAATCTAATACCATCTCCTTGGATTCCTACCTATTCAACATTTGGTTCCAGCTTCCACAGCAAAGTGTGCGCTGAACCTCCGCTTGCTTGTCGGGGAGGAAAATGGTGCCTTCACATGCCGTGTCCTGACACCAGGTTCAATCTCAAAAAATCAAGTAGAGGAAGAGATCCGCAAAGAGCTCCGCAAGTATGTTGATCTGCGCGAGGTGCAAAATACAAAAGTCCATACAATTCCTCATTTCGGGGTGAAATAATTTGGGTATGTTCAGAAACCAGCACTTTGCTTCTTGGGCTCCTTGCTTTGGTCACCCAGGTGCAGCTGCAGCTGCCCCTGGTGCAGGCCGAAAGCAGATAAAGGTGGACAGGACAATTTATGAGCTGAGCTCTGCTGTGCCCAGTCTTTCATCTCAGGGTCCTGGAGTGCCGGGTGTTTTGCTTCATGTTGAGCTGCGAGGCCCAACTGCTGGCACTGTCCAGGCTCGTCCTGGTCTTTGCAAGCTCTTGGCACTTCCATCTGCTTTCATTCAGAGATGCTTTGTCGTTAGCTTGAATCTATTGGATGGACTTCTGCGGTGAGGCGAGACACGGAGCAGTCGAAGCTGTTGCCTCGCTAGTAGAGGTCCTGCAGGCAGGCGGTTTGTTCGCCTGCCTCATTCTATGACTGTTTGCAAATAAGCGTGTGCAGCCACCTCCCGCAGAGGACAAAGTTTCCTCGGAGAATCAGACAGCTATCCGAAATTTGGCGGCTGGCTTAAGCATGATGTTTGGCACACCAGCGCATTGGGTTGTTTTGCCCCGCTCTCCAGATGTACCATGTGACAGCAACATTCAAAACTGTTTTGGGAGCCATTGTGGTTTTTCAGAGTTCCTGAGACTTACCAGGAGCAAGTACTTTGCCTAACTAGTTCCTTGCACTTGTTGGGCACGATATTTGAACAATTTTCGTTTTGAGCAAGGTCCCTGCTCTGGAAAAGGCGCGGGCCTACCGGGGCCGAGGGGGTGAAGTCATCCGCCAGGCGCATCCATTTTCGGGCAGTTCTGGGACGGTGCAAGAGGGACTGATGCCTCAGACTCCGGAGGCAGTTTGATTCAGGCTTGAGGGCTGGCGTGAGGGTAGCAAGCTTTTGAGACTATAGTTTTGCGAGACTGCGAGGGCATTGAGGCTATGACTTTGCTTTGCTCGCAGTGTCTTCTTCATCTTTGCGGGTCTTGACCCTTGTGGCGCGCTCCAAATCTGGTCGCATGCTGCTTGAGTCGTTACTACAGTTGCAGCCAAATTCTAGCTGCTAGCTGAACTCTTGAGTACTTTTGAGAGGCGGCCTGTCGCCTGCTGCAGAAAATTGCAGCAACGCCGTGGCCTTTCAAAGATGCCACGGCAGCCGTCACCTGAGTGCAGGAACAGTTTGGTGACTTTGTAAGACACACCCCCGTCTTGACGCCCGTTCCGGCCTGAGGTGCGATACCTTCAGACCGTGGATGAGCCCGGGGCTGAGCTTGCCCAGTCTGAACAGAGACTGCGTGCTGCTCTTATCCAGGCTCGCAGTAGTTTGAGTGGTGAGAAGTCCCGATCAGGTTGATGGATTATTGTTTTCTTGCCTCGTTGTGGTTCTTCAGCTCACTTTTAGGAATACATGATTGGGTGGCATCCATCTGACTGACACACCGTTATTAAGGGCTTCAAAAAGTACCAAGCAACTAGTCTGAGCCATGGCAAAGATATATACATATGCTTGTTTTTATGCTCTGTGTGGCCCCTGTACAGTTCTGTGGCGCCGATCGTCTCGCAAATCAGTGACATGTGATCTATGAGGTGTGCCAGACACACGACAGAGGCCGGTCCGCTGCAAACTTGCAGCCGTTCTTACTTTGTGGAAGAATTGCTCTATTTCCAACAACTGTTGCCACCCTGGCCATCGCGGATGCACTCGGAGCCTGTGGTTTCCTACAGTCCAGCCTTTTCAGACTGGAGGCCATCCGCGTGGTGGCTGCAGAAGCTTTAGGAGTCCTTGCAACTGCAAGGCGCCTGCTTGCCAGTGTGGACTTCGGATGACTGGCTTTTGCTTGGTGCGTGCTGGATCTTCTCGCACGCCAGGTTCAAGCCAGAGCTTTGTAGCAAATGCGTCATGGCCTTAGTGACCTCTCATAGCGGCAGGCGAACAAATGTACACACTTTGCAAGTCATAGACCCTGAGGTGGACACCTACCTGAAGGGTCTTCAGAAAGCTGACGAAACAATTGCTGCCAGGCCCGAATCAAAACCAGTGCGTAGCACGTAGCTGACTTCAAGTTTTGCTTCAATTCAAAGGCGTGGCTTCGCACTGTGCCTCGGCGCGATGCCGATGTCAACGCTGGCCGAAAGGAGAGGTGTAGGTTCCACCCACAGGCACAGGCAGCATCTGTACATGGTGTGATGTGTCATTGTTTCTGCTCGTGCGAAGCAGATCTGAGAATCGGAAGTTCGCTGCTGGCCAGACCTGATCGGAGGAGGGCTGACGTGCTCACGGCATTGTGCAAGGAGGTCACCCGTCTGATCCCGAAAAAGCTTCGCTACTGGTTAGCGGACTGAAGAAGAGATTTGCTTGGAGATGCGGAAGGCATCCGCTCCTCGTGATGTTCCTGATGTAGCGTTGTGCTGCCCTGCAGGTGCAAGCGGTGGGACTTCCAGGCGGAAAGGACCAGGAGGACTGGTCAGACCTCTCATCAAAACTTGGCTGCATCAGGAGGGCTTAGACATTATTTGTAGATCTCCGTTTGGTGCTTGAGGACCCGACCACACGCCAGTTGGGGCCTGAAAAGCGTGAATACCTTGGCCACAACATGGCCTCCGTCGCAGCGAGGGCAATACCCTCCAAAGCTGTCACATGACACGCCTTTGAGGTATGCAGTGCTCTCTCTGGGCAGCCTTTGTGTTGGCTCCACTCTCTCAGCGGAAGAGATGTCCTTGCTGCTCTCTGCACTGCAGGCGGGGACTGAGGAAATGCTTTTTGCTTAGGACATCTCCTTTGAACCGTTTGAGAAGGCTGCCATGCGGGACTACGCCACAGACCGGCGAGGTGATGTGGGGTCCTGGGTTCGTGAGGTGGCCATGGAGGCCGGGTGCAGGACACGACCGATGAGAGAGTCGATCCCTTCTTGATCTTCTTGACTTTGATCTTCGACAGGTGATTGCGGCCATCCTTGAAGAACAGCGAAATCAGATGGGGTCTCAGATGACTTTCCTTTGTCACAACGGGGCCAGAATACTGGAGAATTCTGGAGACTAGGCATTACTAATCAGCACACACCTCGAGGCATGTTTCAAACAGCCTCCGGCTAGGAAGCTCCAGCAGATGCCTGACTTCTTTGCATACTCGTGAGCGGCTATTGTGAGTGTGTTGCTTCTTTATTGGTTGCTTTGGGTTTCGCTATGATAGCTGTTCTCACTTGCTGTCACCTACAGTTCCCCTTCCTGCCACAGCTTCTTAGCAATTCCTGCAAAAACTCTGGTCCTTGACATGAGGCCAGAGCCTTGCCCTGCGCTGCCGGATGCAGCGTGCACTACAAAGTTGGTGTCACTGCTCCTGCAGCAGGTGGGGTTCGGCCTGTGAATTCTGGGGAAGGGCTTGAGCCGGAACCCCCGCAGGATGCTTTTGGGGCTGCAAGAACAAATGTGTTGCATTGTCCTGCAAATAGGACATGATGGTAAGTGACGTGTCTAGCCCAACTAAGACGAGTCCCATTATGTGCCTCCTGCAAATGTTTGAGTCCTGCCACAAAGGAGGGATATGTTTTGTGTACGCACCCGAAAAAACATCTGTGCAAGACAAAGGAGCTTATTTACTTAATGATCGTGGGCTGCATGCAGCATCTTTCCGTCCCTGCGACCTCCCTCAAATTTCGCGTTGCTCTCCCAACTCCTCAACGTGTGAAGTGTGCAGGCAGTGGAGAAGATTGATCGTCTGCGTGATCGTGCTTATGGCGGGAGGCTCAGTTAACAACCTGTGTTCGGAATCTGTGCAAGAAGCAAGGTTCTGTGCATGAATGTGGCCACACAGAGAGATGAACATAAGTTCCGCTACATGCTTTGCATGCTTGCCAAGCCTGTAAGCATGGTGAGACGCTGGCCAAGTCATGACCCTGAATCCTTTGAAATACCAGTGTCGCAGATGCCCGTAAAGGGCGTCTATTGGTTGTGATGGAGTTGTTGCCGTAGGCCTCCTATGCTCGCTGTTGTGCGGCTGTCAGCACGGCCTGGACTTCGCGAAGCAGCGTGCGCTGTCCTCAGCGGCCAGCTGAGGAGAAGTCCTCAATGCAGAGCAAGATTAAATGCTCCTATTGTTTATGTCATTGTTTAAGAAGCCATTGTTTAAGAAGAGTATTGTCTATTGCTTACCTTGTCCGGCGCCAACTTCAAAACACTACTCAACTGTAGGGGCCAAGACACCTCGCTCTTAGTGTATTTTTTGACACGCCTGTGCAACTCTGAGGGCCTCACTCTGTTAGTGCAGCATTTGCAGCATAGTCGCCAATTTGTGTGTTGACGGGCTGGGACTTTACGCCCAGGTCCTGCATGGAGAGGCCTACGATGCGCTGGGTTTGGCTGCGGCAGCAGAGGCATCCCGAGGCCCTGCACTTTCCAAAGCCGTTTGAGATGAACTGGAAGGCAGCAAGTCCAGTGCCTGCTCGACAAGCCTGGCCGCCTGCGGAGGCGCATCATAGTTCACGAGGAATATTGTTCGATGTTTTGTGCGATTGTTCTTGTTAGTGCGTACTCAGCACTGTGAGGTGAATCAACTGTCAGGATGCTTGCAGCCTTCAAAGACTGTGCTCCGCTCAGAACGTCACTTCCATGACAAACAAATTCTTGTGCGACTCATCCCAGGTGAAGTCCGAGCTGTCAGAGCATAAGCCTGAGGTGGGGACTGCTCAGAGGCTTCAGGGCTTGGTACTGTTTGTGGAATCAGCCAGGCAGACCGCACGGCAGTCTTTGATGCACTGACGCCTCTCCTAGCAGTGGAGGACCCTCAGCTGCATTCTGCATGGTCCATGGGAGCAGAATGGTCTGTGTCTACAGCATGAAGCGGTTCCGCGTGCGTCTGTCCTTTGTATTCAAGCTTTTGCATACTCTGTCCCTAGCGTTGCGCAATGTAATGGAGAAGTGCATCCATCAAAGCCCACTTTGGCTACATAAGGAATATCGGCCTTCGTTGCTTCTTGGCTTAGTGGTGTCGGTGGGTGGAATCACCGAACATACCGCCAAGGACATCTGATCATGCACATTCCGCTGGCAGTTGCAGTCATGCCCGCCAAGAAACATGCCTGGCATCTCCAATCAAACCAGCACTAAGCTTGATTGTGCACCACAGGAGGCCAAGAAAGCGCTCCTGCGACACTTGACCTCTGAAAATACACAGCGACAGGCTGCCTGGGTATGCTGTCACGATAAGCCCTTTATCTAACCATGGATCGGACAGCTTCTTTTGCATGGTCGCATCATGAGTTCTAGGGCAGCGCTTGCAGTATCCAGCCGCACCAGAATGTGTTCTTTACCTTTTCGAGCTCATCGCTGTTGGGCGCGTGCTCTCTTCTCTATCTTTCTCACTCTATCCCCTCTCCTTTTGCCTGAAAGCTCCACTCCTGCAGCATGGCCGGGACATGAAACCTGGTGTTTGCAGACTGCATGCATCCCATATTTCTGAAAACTGGTGCAAATCGGGCATGTAGACTCTGCTTGGGAAGCCGCAGAGTTGAGGGGCAGCCTTGGCAGGTGTGCCAGGAGCTGCTGCATATTTTCGACCTGGCAGGGCTCAAGGATGCGGCCGCGGAGGCCCTGATGCCAGGTCATCAAACTGTTTTGCTTCAGCTGTGGGCCACAAAAGACATACTAGTGGAAAGAAATGCCATGCTGTGCAGTACCTGGTATCTATTCAGCTTATCTTGTGGGGCGGCTCGGGCTTCTGAAGGCAGGCGACCCAAAAGCAAGCCGCCCAGCCGAACAAGCACCGTGAAGCCATGTTCAGGCAAAGCGTCTGTGCGTGACCCAGCTTCTCACTGCATTGGCCGTGAAGACCATGCGCAGTCATACACAGTCCGTGGGCAAGGGCCGCTGTTAGCTAGAGAACCCTAGAACGGCCCTAAAACATATTCAGGTTGGCACCACTGCTCAACACCATGGGCATCCTGCTTGCGCAGGAGAGCGCTAAGTGAAACGCAGCCTCAGATGCATCACGCCGGAACAAGAATCTCAGCAAAAGCCTGCAGACGCAAACACAGCTCCCCAGCCAGCAAGCACCAGCTTGCCCGAGAGCGGCTCTGCAGGACTGTGTGCCTCGAGAGTTTGCGCGAGACGTCTTCGACCGAACAGTCAGGGCAGTGGGAGCCACAGTATACCGGGGCTTGCATCCTGCTGCTGCTTTTGCAGCCTCATGCGCAGACACCTGCGCAAAATCACCATGAAGCTTTGAATTCGGTTGTTGTAATCCAGTTCATCTGTTTGTGCTCCCATTTCTTTGGTCCAAAACGAGTCCTTCCCGGTCTTGCCTGGTTTGCAGGCGAGTCTAAGCTCAAAGTCATTCTTCACGGACAACAGGGGGGCGGATGGCAAGGGTTGTAGTACAACGACTGCAATTCAGTCTCATTCCAGCCTATTATATACCAGGACTTTTGTTTTGGACTTGTCATGACTAAACTTGTCACGACTACTCGACTGCAGTAATTTCGGCTGCTGCTTGTCCGCTGACCTGCAGAGCCGGGCCGCTTTGCTCCCCCCCCTCCCCCCAACCACCCCTCCCCCCTCCCCCCCCTCCCCCCTTCCTTTCTGTTGAGGTTAGACAGATTCCCGTTCCAGACTGTTTGCGCGACCCCCCGCGTTCAGGGACAGGCAGATGAGATGGCAAGCTGGGCCTGCTTTAAGTCAAGTTTGGTGTATGAAACAATTTAATTCATGTGCGCAGTTTCAACAGCAATCCAGAACAAGATGCAGTCAGGTCACAAGCAATGGCAAAGACAAATGTCAGAACATGGTTTTCTTTTGTTGTTGCCTCTATGCTGCCGCGCTTCTTCTCAAAGTGTTACAAACCAAAGACTTGCAAGGTCCGAACCTCCCGTGACATTGGCCGCTTGAGAGCTTCTGTTGTGCCGCGCTGAGTCCATGCTTGGATTGCGACGTCTGAAGTTGGATCCAAGGGCCGCGGAATTTCGATCGAACCAGAGAGGTTGTGAAGTTGCAGTCGCTTTGCGATCCCAGGCCGTCTTCATTGGCTTGATGAAATGGTCCCCCCTGCTTGTTTAGTTGCTTTGCAACCGGACTTGTGTGCTGAAAGCTGGTGAAGAGCAAGCTTTGCACAATCTGAAGAAAGGGCATAAGCAAGGAGGAATCCAACGGATCTGGTTCCCGGCAGTTCAATTTTCAACGTAGACAGCGGCATGCGCCAGGCCAGGCGCTTTGCGCCGGGACGCGTTGGGCCTGCTACTGCAGTGCCTTGGCCAACGGTTTTGGTTTTGTTCGCTTGGGTTGTTGGCATGCCTTCTTACATCGATGCCTTTGGATAGGTTTCAACCAATAGAGTAAATGCAAAATGCTGCTTTGTTGCGGCATCTGGGGTGGAGGAGGAGGTGCGACGCATCATTGCTGTCAAGCAAGGGTATCAGACCGCACCAGTGTAAACATTGCGGAGGGTGTAAGCCCCTGCACTGTGAACATTCTTGCTGCAAAAACAGCTTTAGATGTCAAGCCCCATGACCCCGAACCAGGTTTCTCGGCTACAGCTTTCCGACTGTCCAGCGCCCAGCAATCGGCTCGAAGCAGACGTGGCCAACATGCGAGTCCGAGCTGTGGACCTTAGCTCTACCCAGTGGTTATTGAGCTCACCACACCATTCCTGCTTCAAGATTTCACAATCCAAGTGTCGTAGCCCCTCCGCACCGAATCTGCGTGAAGGTGCGGCAAGCAACTGCGCAGGCTCTTTACATCAGGCCAGGCGAGAGAGGGAATCATTCTGAGTCTTTATCGTTATCGGAGTTTGGCTGAAGCTGCAGAGAGGTTTTGTAATTACACGGTTGCGGGGGGGGCCTTAGCTCCGCATCATCAGGGGCACCAACTTGTTAGCTCCCTAATCTCCCTACTTACCGCCTGCTGGCCCTACTTATTCGCCAGGCTGCTGGAAGAGGAGGGCGACCTTGACCTATCCACAGAGGCTTCAGAACTCGAGGCGTGGCTCTTTGTGGGCACTGTTGTCAAACCTCGTGTGCGCCTGACGCCTAACTCTGAAGCCAGAAGCACAAGCATGAAGGTACTGGAAATTTTAGCGGTGAACCCTTGCATTCATACATTGAATGATATCAGGCAGGGTACGCCGTGCCAAAATCGGAGCATTCTGAGGCCTTGAGCTTGGCTGGTGACTGGTTCATTCTGCCGACTCCTGCCTACAACCCTGCCTCTGCCAGTATCACATTTTCCGGGATGTGACCTGCTACCGCTCAGATACTGTTCTAGATGGAATGACGTGAACCTCCCGCCGATCCACCAGCGAGTATTCTGCAGGTTCAGGGTGCCATCGTTAAAGCAGATGATGTCGCCGAGGTGGGCACACAGTGAATTTACTAGGCTTTACGGGAGAGCATGTCGTTTGCGTGATGGCGATTTGGAGAATTGATTGCGTACCACTGCTATGGGCTGCAGTAGGAATGCCAGCATGGGGATCAAGCATTTGAGACTGCATCGGGAGTGCAAAAGGAGCAAGCATGTGCAGGTCCTGGAGCTTGTCTCCACTACGCCCTGGGCCACGGATGAGGAAGCAACTCTCGGGAAGGCGTTGACTGAGGCGCCACCACTACCTTAGACGCAAACGTCTGGCCTCCCAAAGCACTTGCTGCGCTTGATTTTCACAAAGACACAGGAACAGAGACTGATAACTGTCCTTTCCCTCAGCAACGCAGTAGGTGTATGCGAAGCTGCGCGTGGAGCTTCCGACCAGCGGGCGGTCGATCCTGGCGTTAGCGCCCCGACATTTGGGGACCCATGCAATTTGTTACTTTTACGGTACCCTACTATTAATAGTGATTTTATATGAGTGATAGGAATAAAGCTCCAACATGCTCCAAATAATGACTAGATTAGATGGTATAGTAATAGTATGCACCGCTTCCGAGGCCAAAGAAGCCCAAAGAGGAGCAACCGCGCGAGGTGACGATCTGGATAAGGGCTGACCTGTTTGAACCCAGTGTCCCCTCTGCGCTCTCTTTGTGGTTAGCATCCACCTAGCATGAAGCCTGCTTCTGTCCATGTCGTGTTCGTTCTGCGTAATTCACTTCAAGGCATCATGCAAGTCAGCTTTCTGGAGGCACACTACGCTGACCTGGTTCGGGAAAACCACTACTGATGACGACGCAGAAAAGAGTGTCGACTGGGCGCTTCAAGGCAATGACTTTGCAAAAGGACCTCGGTCTCCAAGCACAGAAGGTGGGACTTGGTGCTCACGCATTCATCGGCTTGGCTCGGTTCGGCTGAAGGTAACGCGACGGTGTGCGCTGGCCCGTTTGTTGCCTTGCAGCCTAGTTTATTCCTAAGCTAGCTTATCCGCTGCCCCTGATGCCACCGTGTCAAAGAAACTATCATGTGTTCAAGCAACTTGCCTGCCATGGCCGTGCTCCGGGCGTGTCTGCCAATGATCGCCCTGGCAGAGTCCATCGGGTTAGCTTCGCCCAGGTGGGGGGCGATTTTCTCGGAGCAAAAGTTGGATGAAAGTTGGATAGATGTCTTCAAGAAGCTCTGCAGAGGTGGCACCGCATTCCCACCGGTTCCATTCAGCCAGAGGGCTGGCTCAAGACGCAGATGCAGCTTCAGGCGCTCTGCATCTTTCACCCCAGAGGAAGCTTGCACTTTATTATGTCGCCGCCATGGATGAAGTGAGCCATGTTCAAAGTTCAAACGGGCCAAGCATTTCCAGTGCCTCTAGCAGTTTACCAGTGCAAGCACGTCAGTTGTATGTGCTGCAACAGCATGCGGCAACAGCGCAACCAAAACATGTTGAACAGAGCCCTGCGAGTTCACGTTGACGCGCTAGCCGAGCAGCCTGTTTTAGCAGTTTTCGCCTCAAGGCCGCAGCTCTAACTTCGCATCTGCCACTGTTCTGGGACAACGCGCCTCTTTGGAATTTGGCCACTGCAGGGCTGAGCGATGATACAAGGCTAAGGAAACTTCACAGGTCGTGTTCTCGAGGGTAGCTTGAGACTTCGGCACCAAGGTTCAGAACACGTCGTGGCTGGGTGGCACTGCTGAGACTCAGCTGCAATGGCAAAGGTGGCTGGGAACTTTGTGTGCACCAGTCCCATGGCGAGTCCCTGCATGTTTTGCAAGGGCCGGAATCTGAGGACAACGTAGGCGGCATCCACGAGAGCACGCCATACTGGCTGAATGGTGCTGTGCCGCTGGCGCTGCAGCTGCAAGACCAAGAGACTCGACTTCCATTTTGTCTTCTATCTTCGTGAGCCATGCTTGGAGCATGTGCAGCACGATTCTCTCTCCACTCAGCTGCCCTGGCTGATGGTGCGGATAAGTGACTAGCAGGGTTCTGTTTGGAGCCACATATGACAAAGCTAGGGTGGCAAGGCATTGCTGCGGAGCATTGAGCAGTACCTGGAAGGCATCCTTGACAGGACCCTTGGGAGTTCTGTTTTCTAGTGCTGGTAACACACAATGCATGCGTCCCAGGGTGCTTTTTAATGTTCTTCCTTTTCTGCCGGGCATCTAGCTTCAGTCTTGGAGTACCTCCCATGTTCTTTCCACGCCAGCGTTCTCGGCAAGCTGCGCTTGATGTGATATCAGAGCAGCGTGCCTTATGCCAGGCAGACTGAAGAGGGATGGTTGGGCCCTGACACGGACCGCTCAGACTTTTGGTCGCGAAGTTTGCCTGCAACTTTGGCACGGTCTCTAGATACTGTGCTCCTGAGAAGGACAATTTCATTGTCACTTCTCCGCAGTCTTGACGGAAGGTGTGAAGCAAGAAGCATGGAGTCCCGAAACATGTTGGCTAGAACCTTCAAGAGCAAGCCTCAGCCTTGCGGTGGTCCGCCCTAAGGATATCCGTTCCTCATGGCCATGGTCCAGTACCACGAGGCCTGAGCCTCAGACCGGCCGGAAAGTGCTAAGCTGGCTCTAGCCAGGTTCAGGATGCAGTGTCAGGGTAGGGGGTCTGTGTCTCGACTCATCCCTTCTCCCTCTCAACCCCAGCTGAGCCGTTCCTCATTGATGTTCCCGACTCACTGATGATAGAGACGTCTCTTCATTTAGGGTTGCAAGCAAGCGCGCAAACAAACCAACAACTATAAAACTTTTCGGCCAACTCCAGGCGCTGATGCCTGGTCCAAAGCGTCAGCGCATCGAGGAGGCCTGACACGCAATTTTCTGCATGTCCACCCTGACCGTAAACTGATCCAGATAGGCCCAAACATGCGAACCAGTATCATGGTGCACAGATCTATGCACTGTGCGCCTGTACGAGTAGGCCTATAGAGCAGCTGTAGGCCGCTGTCAGATTCTTCAACGCCATGCGCAAGCGGCTCGAAGGCTCGGCTTCGAGGTTCTCGGTTGTACAAGTAGCAAGCAGTACTGTTCTCTCGAATTGGACTGGGAAGCCAGAGTGCTGTGGATGGTTTTCTGCTTTCAGCCTTTACAGTCTGCCCAAGTGGCTTTGCGCTAAGTTTGCAGATGAGACGACCATGCTGTTGGTGCACAGGTGGCGTGCCGCTGCAGGTATGGTCTTCCTTCCGAGCTCACGACGTGCGCCTTGACATGATCTGCAAAGTCTTTCGCTACGCCGCTACGCAATCCACAGCTGTCTTTTGATCAGAGGCCTGACGATGGAGTCCATTTCAATCCGACCCTGTTCCCTCCTGCTTGTAAGCGTTTGAAGTGGAGGTGCACTTCTTCGTTTGCGACTTAGGATCTGGACCATTCACTACTTCCTGGATGCGCTGCATGGGTCTCTTGCCTCCTCATGACAGGCCGCCCAGGTCCAGGATGGCAAGCTAACTTTCCTGACGTCAGCATTCAAGGCTTCCTTTATGGGGTCAGGTGGCTGGTTCAGACATGCATTGGTGTCCTCGAGCATGGGTGAAGTTCCTGGCTGTTCCAGGCATTTGATACTTCTTGTGGTTTAATGCTGAAATGTGTGACGCAACCTCGGCCATGTTTCAGGAAATTGCTTTGTAGCACAACATATCACAGCTGGACCCAGGTCTGCTGCAGCCACGACACTCCAAGAACTTACGGCTCTCGCGAAGCGCCTGCACGATGACGGCTTCAACTGGAACGACTTGTGGTGCCTGGGCGGTGTCTGCGTCTCAATCAATTGTCCTAGGGTTTGTAAGTGTTGTAAGGAAACATACTGTACTGGATAAGATTCGATTGGCGGAGCTGCTGCAGAAAGACTCACGTGAGTGCATCTAATGCGCGGTTAGGCCGCTAAGATGCCGAAGGGTGCCAAAAGGCGGGGAATGGGTATGATGAACAATCGTGCGCATCTTGCAAGGTACAACTCCACCAGCTTCCCCAAGGAGGCTGATCGACATCAATGCTGTTGCTTCCTTCATCACTTGTGACCCCCGATCACTGGGCTGCGTTAATTAGGGAATAAGTCTATCTACTATGTGTACTACACCTGCGGTCAGTACATTCTGCTGAAATCAACGGGAGGCTGTGAGCAAGACCTCAATGCAAACGCACGGGGTCAACAATGCCCAGGCCATGACCAGTGGACCAAAGTTTGTTGCGCTAGAGCAGCAGATAGGAGAGTGAGCGTGTCTCCAGTTTTCAAAGCTGTGGAGGCGGTGAAGCGAGGCGTCGTTTGGGCACGGCAGACAGGCGATTCCAAAGCAGGCTGCAGGGTTCCAGAGCGGCCTAAGTGTTTTGCTGGCGAATTTTGACAAGGTTGGGCAGAGAGCTGGCTTGCCTGGCAGCAGCTGCAGCGCTACCACGGGTGACGCGGCATGACGCGGCGTGTGAGATAAATCAGTCATCAAGCTGTTCATCAGCAGTCTGAAGCTTTGCTGCAGAGGCTTCATGCTATTGCCATGAATTGCCGTATCCTCAGGCAACCAAATGGTGCCTTCAGTGCGGATGAACATCTCGCAGGTGGGCGCTGCTGGAAGTGCATGCTCCTGACATTTCAGCTGCTCCATAGCCAGGACGAATGCCCTCGCGGGGAACAGAGCTGTGCGTCGTAGTAGCTTGGTTGACGTAAGGACTTCTACGCTCCTGCTTCCTGTGGAGGCTATTGAGTGCTAAGTTGCTGAGGTGGAGGCCATGTGGTCCTTGGCCTTGGCCTCGCAGATGGCCCCAGGAGATGAGGCGGGACAAAAGAGGTTGGCTTCCACACGCTAATGATGCCATGCACTGTCAACACACCACTCTCCCTTTGAAACAGGAGTCCGCGGCAGCCTTGGATGCCCTGGAGTCCTTGGCATTCAACGCGCTGCCCGGAAGTTTGAGTGACGACCTCTGGTCTCATCCCTATCTTCAGCTCCTTGGTATGCTTGCAAGGGAGATGGTTACCTTATGGGCCCTCATCGGCATGATGATTTCTTGTCGGTGACTCTCGTCGAGCCGTGCTATATGAGGTTTGCAAATTCCTACCAAGCGGTCTCCAACGAGCCTGATCATATCTGGACAAACGACGGCATATCTGGCTTGGAATTCCGCATGCAAGCTGTAGCACCTTCAAAGCGGGGGCTGCTTTTATCACTCCTTCGGTGCATGTCCGGCCGTGTGCATCTGAGCACTCAGCTTCGGCCAGGTCCACAGTCTGCCATGTATGGGCTGGCGCCGAATTACGAGTGTTGCACCGCCAACTTCCACCAAGGTTATCCTAAATTTGCAGGAGTGAAGGGCATTCAAACATTCAAGCAAAGCTATTGGCTTCCCTGTAGTCTGTGAGCGGCTGCTGAGCTGTCGTCTGTACTATGCCTAACTATAGGCTGGGAAGTCACATTAGAGATCCCTGCTTTTCTTGCATGAGGCCCAGACCCTGGGAAAGCTGAGATTCAATCCTGGCTTCGGGCAGGAAGTCTCTTTTTCGAAGATTTGGCGCAGCAGCAGCTGGTTTCTGCAATTTGGGCGCCCAGTGCAACGCGGTTTGGATGCAAAAAAGAGAAAGCTTCTGATGATTTGGAGTGGTTTCTTTGGATACTCGAAGCGTGTAGCAAATGTGCTGCAAGGAATGTCACAGTTGGCGGTATGGCGCATGTCGAGCTCCGGACATCCTACCCTTTCAACACTTCGGTCGAGTACTGGCTCCTCCGCTCCATGTTTTGGAAGTTTGAGGAGCTCTAGATGATGGGCTTGTTACGGCAATGCCTTGGGGAGTTGGCAAAGGCAAATCTGCGTCTAAGGATTCAAAACACTCAGCCCTTCACGCTGAAGATACGCCTCCCCAAATTCCTGCGCTCTCCGAGACTTGGCAAATTTGATGCAGCAGGTAGTCTGCGGACAAATGGTCAACGAATGCAAGAAGTGATGATTGCATCGCCTCATCATGCGCTCTTTACCTTGTGATGCCGTTGATGCCCCTTGCTTGGAAGGACAGCAGCTCCAGTGAAAGTCCTGCTAGACGGGCTTAGCGTGAAAGTGGAGGCACGGTCCAACATACCTGATGGGCACGACTCGTTCCCCAAAGTGGTGCCTGGCAAGGCCACCTTGGGCTTTCTTCATCTCTCCATTCCTCCTGCAGCAAAGCGGCTGGCAGTGCTTTGGTGAACTGTTTGGGGTATTCTGAAGCTTTGTGGTCTGCAGAGCTGCCGATCATGATTCCATGCCTGTCTCCAGTTTGGGCAGCTGTGCAAGGTTCACCCGAATGACACAGTCTCAAGGGTAGCTTCAAGAGCTTGCAAGAAGTTATTCATCTGAGCTTCCAGCCTGCTGAACATCTTTTGGGCCCTAGATCTGGAAGTTAGCATGCTGATGGTGTTGAGGTAAAGATCGATTCTGTCATGGCTCCCACCGTGCAGAGATCCGCAGACCAAGGCGCTGGACATTCGAGCAACATAGGCCTTATATAATGCAGACAGGGGCTTGCTTTCCATCTCAAGATCCATCAGCTTTCACAAGGGTCCAAAAGAGAGGGGTTCTGCAGTTTTTGTAATGTGAACACATATCTCATTTCAGTCTAACATATAGGCCGAAGGACTTGTGAGATCTGATTGAAGTAGCCATGCATCATCATCCACCCCTAGCCAAGAATCCATGCATATTCGGCATGTTGGTAGTTAAATCTCAAGAAATCCACCGAGTTCTATCGGCTTCGAGAGGCATCTTTCACTACGACATCTCCTTAGTCAGTTCTGGCACATACCAGGAAGCGCCTCAGGTATCGGTAAGCTAGCGGGTAGGATGCTTGGTTCCGCCCCTGGATGTTCTCGTGGCTGGCGTAGATCAGATGAGCAGGGTTTCTACAAGCTCTACATATTTGCAGACGTTTGGGTCCTCAATGTTTAGCCTTTGATCCAAGGGAAGAACAGTTGAACAAGCTTCAATCGACCTTGAAGAGAAGGTTGAAGATTTACTAGGAAACTTCTTGAATCCTGGCTTCACTCCCTTGTGCCAGAGATTGAGCTTCGATCCAGAAATGGGTCCTTGTACGTGAGTTGGTGTGTCGTTTGCTTCGTCAGTGTGTGAACGTTCCGGAAACCCTGCAACGGGGGATCATGGTAAGGGTACATTGTACAAAGACTCTCATTTCTTGAGGCCAAGAAGTGCTGCAAACTTAGGCTGCGCGGCATGACTAGAATGGTCAAAATCTAAGAGCCTCCGCTCAAGCAGAACAGGCGCTTCGGTCTACTTGGGACCACAGCTGCTGGCTCTCGACCTCAAGGAGCAGTGGCACCTGGTGCAGAGGTCCGTGATGTTTTTCTTATGCACCACATACATACATAGCCTTGACCTGTTTTAGTGGCCGGGCACCCTCTTCGGCCCCATCAATCAACGTTTTGTGGTTGAAAGGGCTGGTGGTGCTAGCTTGGCCCCATGTGCGGCTCAGTCTACAGTTGGAGCAATTGTTGCCAAGCAGAGGGCAAACGCGGCGAAAAGATTCTGCTCGCAAATGCGGATGCTTCTCTTGCAGTGCTGTAGTGGGCCTGGAGGTATGCTTTCGAAGCGGCTGATTGGAACACCACAGCATCTTGGCAGCTTTACGTCAGGCTGCGGACTGACTACTTCCTGACGTCTGCGTTCTTCAAAGCTTGGATGCAGACATGCTTGCAATTCGCACAGGCGTGGAATTGCAGCTGTAAGTCGACGTGAACCCCAGTACATCCCAATACACAAGAGGGGTCACTTCACAAACGACTTTCATCTTGCACTATCAGTCTAAAGCAAGGTAGACAGACCCCCGTATGTTTAGCATAGGATATGCTCCACGATTTTTCAGAATGGTCCCCACATTCACTCCACCCACGCCCCTCAAACCACCAGTAAGTCTGGCATGCAAGGCCACACTACCCTGGCGCTTGGCCATGCCGATGTCTCTCCACCTTGGCGCGCTAAGGAGTCTGCAATAAGTGTAAAGGGATTTTCTTGGCGACTACCTCCGCCTGCAGCTCATAATAGACAATCTAGACAGAAGGTCTTTGAAATCAGGCAGGGGTTGCTGATGCAATTGCTCCCAGACACTTTCAGGATGACTGCGCCTGGTCCACTGCCCATGGCATCCAGTGCCTGCCCGATGACTCTAGAGGCATGAGTGTCTGTCAGTGCCCACAGGGCCGATCAAACAATCGAGAAGATCCACATCAGCACAGCTGGAAATGCATTCTTCATGCTCAGCCTGGAGGCAACTCTCATGGCCGTTCCTCCCAGCGCTTGGCCTACCTTGCACGGTGCACCGGGGCCCGTCAACGGTGACTGGGCTCGTGAAGCCAGGGAAGCCGCATACTGCAAGCGGCTACCAAGGACGGTTGAAGAAGGTTTGCGGTGTGTGGGAAGCGGCTGTAATTACCTCATGTGACCTCTCGACCGACTGTGGAATTCGCTTTGCACGTCAGGAGGTTAGTAGGGAACTTTGGTAGCAAGCCGTCCCACAGAGTTAGAGGCCTTTCCAAGCGAAACAACCGATGAGCTTTTGAAGCCGAGGCACTTGCCAGGCCGGTGTTCAGGCAGGAAGGTAGTCATGACGTGGCTCGATACCCTGAATTTTACGAGAGCTACGGAAGAGAACGAAAGCTGGATTACAGGTTGTAGATGATGATGCAAGCTAGAAGCACAGCTGCAGATGCGCAGTCATAGACTGTGTTCGAAAATTGTGGCGTCATTGCTACAGCTTGCCTGCAGGGCTTCTTTATGGTCTGTCGACTGCAGCGCAACCCAATCCACGCAGTTTGATACGCCTTTGGCAGGTTCAGCGCACGCTCATCCCATATGCTTGCACCTCCATTCGCATCTCTGCCTTCTTGGTGGCAGAGGAAGCGGTGCTGGTTTGAGCGGAATAGGCCACTAGTCAGGGCCAGCCTCGCTACAAGACCACTGTGGCATCAGAAGATGCACGTGGGGGCAAGGATAAACTTGTTGATTAAGCCCCACAAGAGGGCCCAGCCGGGCTCGATTTCGAAGCCGGCCGATCCTCCTTCTGTGCAGATCTGAAAACATCACCACCTTGGGATGTGATACCAAACGGCAGTTGTGGCTTTGAGTTGCTCTGTTGCAGTACTTGGCTCGAGCTTGGCATGACATCTCCTGTTGCAAGTTTAGCATGGCTCCCTCCGGCACAACAAATTCCTAGCCCCAGGGCACGCGAGCAGTCCTAAGTAGGAAGTATCATACTTCGTACATTGAGCTAGCTCCTGAACCTTGGTCATTGCTCTTCAGTGCATAGGGCTCGGCGAGCCCTGTAGGACTTAGGTTTGAAGCCATGGGTGTCATTAACACGAACACGACCGGGCCATGGTTGGCTGCTTAGAGACTTTTAATGACTCTTTGGAGTCAGGAGCTGATGCTGGATGCATCAGCTCTGATTGCTTCTTGTGTTCAAGCTCATGCACGTCATTATCGTTCTCCTGTATTCTGAGCTGATCTTTTCGCATGATACGTACTGGTTGATCCAAATGCAGAGTTTGACTGCTTGGCAAGCTTGTGCCACGTTAACCGAGTCCGGTCAACAAGATGCCCACAGCAGCATGGTGTGGAAACCAGCTCTATTTAAAGCATGCCCCCGCTAAAATGCAAGCGCAGGAAATATTTTGTGTCCCTGCCACTGCGCAGGAAGTGTATCTGCCCTTTTAAATGAACTAGCAAGGTGGTTGTCCATGGTTGTCATCTCCTGCTTTAACTTCCTCTACTTCAGGCCCGGCGAGTTGAAGAGTCCTTGACAATTTGGGAGGTCTGGATGAGAATGGATCCGATGTAAACGGTGAAGTAGCATTCTCACATGGCGTGGGGTCATGCGTACACAGTTAGCCAGTTTGCAGCAAGGTGTAACACCTGTCGAATGCAAGTGCAATGACCATTTCATAAAAGTCATACTGCGCACCATGATAGCAAAGAGTCAAAGAGCGACTTGAGGCCTGGCCCGAGAGGGCTCCACTTGACCGAAAACTTTCCATGTCATGCTCTGAGGCTACTGCTATTCATTTTTGGGGTGTCCTCCGGTCAGGCACGTTCGACTCCGTGCCCGGCAGGCTCATACGCCTCAGGACTGTCATGGTTGCAGCGGTAAGCGGCGGAAGCCAAAGCAACAAGAAACCGGGTAAGGGATTGAAGAAGGTAGAGCAGAAGTAAAAATGAAGGGATCGAGCCCCGATGTCTTTGACCAACAATGTGTTCGTAGTTTCAACTCAGAGCTGGTTGTTGTATCCAAACTAACAAGAAGCTGTCCTTTGTTCGTCTCAGCTGCTTCAGACGGCCAGGACCGTCGTTACCAGCGCTATCTGAGGAACCTGTGTGTGCCCTTTCTCTTTGTCACTCGGTTTTTTAGAAAAGTCTTTCCTGACGAGGGTGTACCGCAGTAGCATCTTCAGTGAGCTAAGGAGTGCGCCTGGCGAAGTTGTTTTCCAAGCCTCTACAACGAGCGGCAGGCACAGCTGAGCACAGTGTCGAAAATTCCATCTTTCCTGCTTTCAAGGGTGTTTGTTTCGACATCATGCCTGTCGCCATCACTCGTGCAGGATATCTTTGCAATTCAGAAGTTCTACCGCATTCATGCATGCTGATGCGGCTTTTTGTTTCTACAACGATGCTCTAAAATTGTTTTCTTGTCATGGGCTTGAGGCCTTGAGGTTTGTCATATTCTGAGGCTTCTAAGGTCCATGACTGGCCGTCTTCAGCATCGAGTTAGACCATCGCCGTCGAACCCAGAAACCCGCATCAGAAAAAACTCAGTTGAGGGTTTGTTATGCATGCTTTTCAAAAACCAAGAGCCCTACAAAATCCAAACCTTCATCCCCAGACTCACAAATCCTGAGCCCCGCATCATCAAGTTCACCCAGCCCAAGTCCCTGTTCAATCCAAGCGCTCCATTTGTGAGTTTTTTTGAGAAAGCGGAGCTGCCAAGCTCCCGGGATCAGAAACTGTACCTGTCAAGTTAACGTGAAGGTGCTCTTCGACACGCCCTTGAACGCTATCCTTCTCGACCGCAGTCTCGCTGCTGTGGGAGAGCTGTGCTGGGCTGCTAGTTGTGCAGGAAGTTTGTCCGGGGAAGATGGGGCTTTTTTTGGCTCGGTGGATCCCTCCGTGTCGTTGGCTCTGCATGTTGGGGGTCTTTGCTAGCCCTGAAGCCTCAGCACGTGCATGTGTCAAAAAATGGGTAGGAGATGGTCGTTGAAAAGTTGTACATTAATACGTTTTCGATCAGTCGTGACTCACTGACAGTATATGTGGATGCGAGAGCCGTCAAAGCTAGAGCCAATGTATCTGTTAGGCCAATGTAGCGTGAGTTTCTAACGTAACAAGCATGTTCCCTGAAAGGAAGACAAGCAGTTGTTCCATGCTGCTGCCACGAAAACTTAAACGGGCCTTCCTGTCTCCTCTGGGCGTCTCGCAAGTTCAAGGAAGCACCCTGCAGGGGCTTGCAGGGCCTGAGGCAGCTTCTGGATGTAGCTAAGTGAAACCTAGCAGGCCCCCAGCATCCACCATTAAGCTCTACATTGAGCACCCGAAAATGTCTTGAGAAGATGTGCACGCCTCCGAGAGCCCCGCAGCTGCCATATGAGAGCCCACAAGAGGATGTGAGACAAGCAAAGCATATGCTGTCAGTACAGTTCACAGATCCCTCTTGCAAATCGAAGTTCTAGTGGGTAGGGGTGTACGAGCGAGTCTTTCATATTGCGAAATGTCCAGAGATGGGTAACATCTGTAGAAGGCTTGCTCCCCATGTAGATCTCGCAGCGTACAGAGAAGCATCATGTAACGGACAGATAAATTTTGAAGTTATCTCGCCTGACTGCAGTTTCATGGAAGGCTGGAGGCAGCAATTTGACAGAATGTAGCTTTGGGTCGCCTGTCGAAGGTCCTTTGAATTCTGCTTTACAAACCCTTGCGCGCGGCGTATGAAGATTGTTTCTGCAGATCATCGCAGCACAAAGTTCTTTTTTTCGCCCCAGGTTCTGCAGATCTGCCTAATATTGGAGCAGCTGGCGACAGCAACTTGCTTGGAAGACATTCGAGAGATTGCATACATTGCATCAGGAAGAGCTGACATTTCAAGCACTGGGCTTAGGCACTCTGCTGGTGCACGTTCCCCCACATCTCTAACGGGCCGTAAAGATGAAGGGCAGTGCTCAAGGTCTAAACGGCAAGGCGACAGAACACCGTACAAATATCGCTGAATGCCATCGCGCCTGCCACTGGCGTTGCTGCCGTAAGCGGCGTCGAATGCTAGTAACTACATGACAGGAACATTTCCGTATTCGCGCAAACAAGGACCTGCGACAGCATTGGATGAAGGGCTGCTGTGGCAAGTTCTTTGTAGAACTCTGCATCTTGCGAGCAAGTATGTTTTCTCCGGCTTTGCATGGTTCGGAAGACGCAGCAGGCTTCTCGCTATGGCTCGTTGTAGCAGGTGGCAGCTTCTACTTGAGGTGATTCTCTGCGTTGTGATGCTCGATAGCTTAGGCAGCATGCTGATGGCTCTCCTCGCCTTCACTGGAGAGGTCTTCTCCTTCTTAGGCCCGGGTGTTCTGAAAGGTCCCGCAAAACCATGGCTATCGACCATCACCTACTTATTGACCTGGGCTTGGAATTGAGCTTGCCTACTTGTTTCAAAAGTCTTGATGCATCAGCTCCCTTCAGGCACCTTCACTACCAATGCCTACTTCGAGGTTCTGGAAGCCATCTGCTGCTCGGCCGTTACTTATGCAAGCTCTAGCTCAAGAATGTTGCTGCTGCTCCCGGCTCGCGTCTTATTCCAGCATTGGCTCGATCTGTCATGGCTGGAGGCTGGTGCTCCCTGTTCGGCCTGGCCTCCCTCGCTTCCCTGACGCTTTTGGTGCCTGGTCGGCCAGACTCGACTCAAACCAGCAACGACAACGGACATGTGGACTGGATTATGTCCTTGAGCCCAGGTGCGGACGCACATGGCCGGAGCGGGTGGGGTGGCTGCCAAGCGCTTCATGGCCGTTCTGGCCCTGCAGGCAGGCTCTGATCAGCAAAGCCATCAGCAAAGCCTGCTGAGAGTGCTGCACCTGCCTTTGCCCTGAGGGCTTCTTCTATTGCCCCTACATGATCCTCTTCAACATTCCGATGTACTTCCGAATTTGGCGACATGATGAAGAGCAGGGCAAGACATATCTGACTGTGCTGGAGGGCATTGTGGACTCTGCGAGGACTGCAATAAAGGGTACAGGAAAGGTCAGTGCGGGCTACCGGTAGTTCATTGATTTGATAAAAGTACAAGCTGCCACTACCTGCAGATAGCACTCTGGTCACCATCCATTTTGAACGATTCAATGCAGCAATCCTGAGAGGACCCGTGTAAGATGCCAAGAATGGAGCTGCTGGAAAGATGACTGGTTTTGGATGTCTTTCTACTTCTCCTTCGCTGTATGGAGCAGATGCTTGGCAAGCCCTGTGAGCTCAGGTTTAAACGGTTAAGTAGTATTCAGTACAAGGTAGTCGGGTTAAGACGT